GATTTAAGGTACATAGAAGGATTTTCCCAAATTTTAGGGAAGAACCGCCCTCTCCACTTTTTGGACGAAACTATCTGGTCTTGTTTGACGAGCACGTATAACCAGAATGATTGACAATGAGGAGGACCAATAGTCTTGATGATCCACCCGGAAGTAGAAAATCCTCCTATAAAACTTTATGATAGACTTTGATCAAGGCGTTATGATGGAACCCCTGAACCCGGGCCTCTTTGACCTGTTATTATTGCGTTTCTGCTCGAACTGTATGATTCTCTAATCTGTTGTTGGTGAATTGACAACGTTGTGAAGTCCCCCGAGATGACTGTCGTGATTTAGCAGTATCATAGAAAACTCAATAGCTCTTAGATTTGAGAGTGCATTACTCTTGGGTGCATTTTAGTCTCTACCCTCCTCTGAAGGGAAGCCTGTAATTACGTCTGCCTCACATAATGACTTTGTTTTCTAAATCTGGAGTGGGCCTATCCCACTATACTGTCAGTACAATGATTTACAGTATGGGTCGACTGTTACTGTAGGTTTCAACAACTCCATCATATTGTGTACGTTATAGCAGGAGTCTCCAACCTTTTTTCACCCGGAGAGCTACTTCAGCAGAAATGGCAGAGACACTTGTTTTCGCAGTCATAAATCATGGAGAATAGTAATTAAGAGAGCTGTGTGTTCCATTGTGTGAATATAGAGACAACACAAGTTAAAATAGTTTTGTTATGACAAGAGTGAATCATTCTGGATCATGTGTTTAATTCTTGAATCCTTTGGAGAGCTCCCAGAGACACCTGCTGTATAGGCCTGTTATTATATGTTATACCATTGAACCATTAGCTTTTGTCAGTAATACAAGTTTTTACACTACAAGTACTAACACTCAGAGCAGTCATTTTGATGGTTCCGATTACAATCAATGCAATTCTGAAAAAAAGTGTTCGTTTTGAGTTTGTTTTCCACCAGATGTAGGTGTAAGTAAATGTATGCGTTTTTCCACCACTTGCTTTTAATAAGTGCTAAAACTGGTGAATAAAACTTGAAATACAGCAGTTTGGTGAAAAGCTACATGCTAACTACTGCAAGTAAACAGTGTGTTGCTATGGTAACTAGTGCTTGCTCATCTCTGGTGGAAAAGTAGCTCAGAACCAGAACCAGTTAAGGACCAGAACCTTGGAAAAAGTAAATGTAGGTACAGAAAAAGTCACAAAGTTAGGAAAACCATAAATCATTCATAAGTCTTTACGCTTCCAAAAAACTAAAAGCCGTCAATTTGACTGCTCTGGGAGTTCTAGTGTTCTGGCCAAGTCCTCATGAACCCCCTTTATATAATTACAATTGAGATTTGGACAAAACAGCCGGTAATAGCTCAATAATTAAACATAATGTCCAGCATTTGAAAGTGAATTGACACAAAGACACAGGATGCTGCAGAGGCCTATTACATGGACTCACTTTATTTTTTAATAATTATTGTAAATAGGCCAATTATTGTGCAAAGCCATTAGTCAGGCAAGCAAACCGCAAAAATAAGATAGAAGTGTTGGAAGTCAGTTCTGTGTATGTAACCCTTCTTGTTCCACGTTAAAAATCAGTTTATACAAATAGAGTTCACATAAACAAGCCTAAAACAACATTAAATACTGGAAAACAGACTCCCATAAGTCTAAATTATTTCAAAAATGAACTAAAGTCTTCAACGATGACCTCTCTGATAAGTACAGACAAATCAATACATCTCTAAACTTTACAACAAAACAAGTGGAATAGTAAATACATGCAAACTGACCAGAGATTCAATATTCTATCTACAAGAAAATAACCCAACTCTCTATTCGTGACACAGCCCTGCAGCGCCCTCACGTGGCCACAGTTACCACAGCACCCTTTACACGTATTTAGAAAAATAAACAATTGTAAATAAAAATAAATTAAACTCAATATTCAACACATGCTGAAACACAGTGGCAATACTGTTGACAAAAGTGAATTTGTCCTCAATTACAGGCAAGTTAAACAGCCACAAGCAGCCGATTACATCTGCTGGATTTCAATACAAAGTAAAAACATGAAGGTGCACTATGTAACTTTACGGTGGGGGTAATGCCATTTGGAATGTCCTTCTCTTCTGTCAAAGCTCTATCTAAAATGTGAAAGATTTGTCTAATACTGTTGAGAATAATTGTGTAGTTGACTTAAAACAGTAAGTCTAATTAATAAGGACATAATTTATCAGTGGCACTTTCCAAGAGTTTGATGTGTGTGGAGGAATGTTGAAGATGGAGGAAATCAGAAGAAAAACATGTATTTTATAAGATCTCTTAATCTCAAAACTTGTATTTAACCAGGAAAGTCAACATTAGATTTCAGAATTTCTTTTTCAGGGGAGAGCTGGCCCCAGAGACGGAGCCAGCAGTCCACTGTAGATGGTTTTAGTGGTTGGGGAAACCGGAGCATTAGAAGGACACCGGAGCAGACACGGGGAGAGCATGCAAACTCCACACAGAAAGGCCTTGTCTGGAGGTGGAATCAAACTGGCCAAAAACAAGTGTACTGTGATTATTTATTATTTTAATGCCTTGTCTTGTCTCTATGTGGTTTGGTTAAGCACTTTGGGTTGCCTTGTGTATGGGTTAGGGTTGCGTTGTCTAGCCTAGCAGGATACAAGAAGATCTAAGGACATTTCTGGACATTGGTCATCCCGCTCCCTATGGACCCGATAACTCAAAACCGATAACTTTGCAAAGATTTAGGGCTATACAGTTAAATTGCCGCCCAAGTCACATAGTGCACCTTTTTTCAGACAAATTCAACACATTATTCATACATTTTTCCAGCTAATCCTGCTTAAAACACAAAATCTCCATAGCATTTACCGTGGCAGACTTAACATGCTGTGCGTCACTTTTAAAAATAGTTTGTACAAATGTCGCAGTATCTCTTCAAACTATACAAAACTTATAAATTAGAAATGTCTATTCTTAAATACAAACAACACATAGAGTCCAGTCCATATGACATACATAGAGTAAATGTTACTGCTGCAGGATCAGTCCGTGAGGCCGAGACTGGGACACAATCTTTGAATAAATTAATTCATAAATAAATCACGTTTGTGTTTTCCCAGAATCTAACCTTCATTTTTTAATCCCAAACAAGCACGCGCACATTCGGAAAAAAATCCACTCATACTTCCACACTGCAGTCTTTTTCCTATTCTAAAAATACTTTTGGCTTTAAGAATAATACACTGTACAATATTTACTTAACTAAAATGTCAAATATGTACAGAGGCCTTATATCAGTAGTTACATGTTAAAATCATTTGTAATTCTAATATATTTCATCGTTAAAGTGACAGTGCTAGGTGTCCTTTTTCCATTGAGATAACCTCCGGAGGAAAACGCATTAGAGTTAAAACAGCCAGAAATGGACGGTACAGGAAAAGCTTTGTGTTTGTATACCATTGAATATTTTTGTTTTCCCTCAGTGCAAAGCTAAAGTGGTTATTACAACATGCTGCGGCCATTTTGAGCAAGAGAAACAGCATCGGTAACACCTCAGCATAACTCATTTCTGATAAGCCTAAGATTCCCCTTCTGTCTTTTATGGCTGGATGGTTTGTGTGTATATACAGGGCATCAGCAGCAGGTGGCGGTCCCTTTTCAAAGTAGCGAGGATTGTCCAGAGATGAACCTCAAACTATGGCAGAATATGAAATGATATTGACAACGAAATTTACAGATAATGGGTTTGAGAAAGGACATATTAAGCTTAAAACACAAGTCGAAGTGACGAAAACTTCTCTGAATATGTTGTTTGCCAACTTAGACAGCCTATAAATATCAAATCAAAATAATAATTTTTGTGGATGCAATTTAAAAACTGGAAAATACGCCAGTTATCTATGTTCTTTGCAAACAAAATTTAAAATCTATAAATCTATACGGCCTATAATCATGCAAAAAGGAAGCTTAAAACACAACTCAATGTGGAGAAAGTAAAGGAAACAAAACCTTTTTGAATTTGGACTTTGCCAACTCCTATAAGAAGCTTCTCTATTGGGGCTCAAAATAGCAATTTTTGTGGTTGCAATTAAAAAAATAAGTCAAATACATCAATTATTTAAGTTCTGTGCAAACAAAATATCACAAAAATGTAGAAAAATGTCTCTCGCCTATGATTTTATTTTGAAGCTTTGTCTTGTAACAGCATTATTTTATCATTCCAAATCTAATCTTTTTCATAATTTATAAAAACTGTCAAAATAAATGATAATAACATAATATATATACACACACATATTTGATAGTGAATATATAGTAATACATATAGCAGTGGATAGTCGTAATATTCACTTCATATGTGTGGGTCATTTCAAATTTCAAGTTGTTTTTTTGCTACTCTAAACTAAATATGACTTTTTAAACAGAATCGCAAAAATCGTAATCGCAGTATTGCTCCGAAACATCGGCGTTAGATTTTTTACCGAAATCCTGCGTCCCTATTGTTACCATAAGACATTGAGAGTTGCCAACCACAACGCCACTGTACACACCCGGACCATGTTTTAGCAAGACCGGTCCAGTGTTGCATAAAATCAATACTTACTGAATATACTTTACCCATCTGTACAACTTCCAACATTGTGTGTGTGCTTATTTCCAATATTATACAAAGAGTAAGAAAAGATGGAAAAATCGCATAGGATTTCACTTCCCTATCGTTTCGACCCAGGACAGAATCGTTCACCAACCTGAGCCCATAACTGTTGCTTTAGATTGAATTATATAATCTGTAGTCCACTTTCTGTATTCGTCAGCAAAGCCACGGGCCGGATCCTCTGCCTGGACTTTTGTTTTAGTGCCTCAAAGCAGCAGCAACCCCTTTCTTGCTGTGATAGATAAATTATAGCAAAAGAAAAAGACAGAATCCGTTGGGAAAAATCCGAGCAAGGTTTTCCTCGATGCTGGGGTGGGAGTGCGATAACTGGGAGGTCAGTGGATGTCGAGACACATGGGGAGGTTGACGAAAATGAAGACGTTGAACTCGATGAGGATGGAGAAGCACAGGAACACAGCGTACAGGAGCAGGCAGACCAGGCCCAGCCGCTTGTCCAGGGTCCACTTGTTTAAATGGACCCCCACCACCTGCACGCACAGAGCAGACGGTCAAAAACAGGAGGCTAAAACAACACACCCTGAGAAAAACATACAACATTATGGAAGCCCGTTTCCGCCATGTAAAAAAAAAAAAGCAAACAGAAAGTCAAAATTTTGAGTTTAAAACTCAAAATTACGACTTTTAAAAGTCAAAATTTCGACTTTAAAAGTCAAAATTTTGACTTTAAAAGTCAAAATTACAACTTTAAAAGTCAAAATTACGACTTTAAAAGTCAAAATTACGACTTTAAAAGTCAAAATTACGAGTTTTCAACTGCGCATGTGCAGTTGAAAACTCGTATGTGTTGTCTGGAACGGTCTCTGGACATCCTTCACCTGCAGAGTATGTGAAGATATTGCCTACAGTGACCACTGCATCCTTGAAGTAGCCAGAAATAATGTTGTTTGATTGATTCTGTAAAACATTCCTGTTTAAGCCCCAGACCGCGGTCGTAGGACGCAGGGAGGAGCTGTCTTTTTATTTATTTATGTTAAATTCAATTTACATATATACAACATTTAAATCAAACGACTTCTTATTTTGACATAGTAACAAATAATGTGAGCAATATGTTTTTATAATAAATCAAAGGAAAATGAGCCATCGAGACATTCCAATCCAATCTGCTGTAGACCACTCTGACCAGACGATGGCGCTGAGAGGGGTCCACACGGAGCGAGTCTTTCCACGGCTGAAATGATGCGCTTTCTACGTGTTGAGTACGGGGTTTTATTCATGCATCTATAATGGGTTTAACTCCCTTTTCAAAGACCCTCACTGTTATCTGCGGAGTTATTTCTCCGGATTGTTGCTTAAAGAGTCGTGGGCTTTATTTTGTCACAATAAAATAATCAGACAAAGTACTTATTCCCTGTATGTCTCTGTGTTCTCGCTCATACGCCAACAACTTTACCACACGCTCGCTCCATCAGCTCACCCCCGCGTGCACGCAAACACGTCACATACTCTTCAATGCGCTGATCGCAATTCCAAAAGGGTAATATTGTCAGTGCCCGTGACTGTGGTTCTCCTGCCTCTGTCTGTGGACCTCCCTCACTGTCCTGTCATCGCGAACAGTGTCTCTGTCAGTCACAATATCATTCAGTGCATTTCTGGTGCATCCATCGATAGCCGTGATACTGACCAGATGTCACCAGTTGATGCTCACTGACTTTGAACAGCCGCATGTGTTTTATTATTAATCTTCCACAGTCCGTTTAGGATAAACTAAAGGCTTCTGAAGCGGATTCTAATCATATGCGCAGTTGAAAACTCGTAATTTTGACTTTTAAAGTCGAAATTTTGACTTTTAAAGTCGTAATTTTGACTTTTAAAGTCGAATTTTTGACTTTTAAAGTCGAAATTTTGAGTTTTAAAGTCAAAATTTTGACTTTCTGTAGGCTTTTTTTTTTTTTACATGGCGGAAACGGGCTTCCATACAACATAAAGTAAGATAAGAACAAAATATACAGAGATAAGTAGCTTTAAATGCCTCTTAAATATCTAAATATGTATAATGAAAACTACATGCATATATGGCTGGATAAATAAGATGTGGAATCTTGAAGTTGGAGTATTGCATATGATTGCAGAATTAACCATTTCAGCAGTTCTCATTGGACAGTCTGACAGCAGCAGGGAAGACACATTAAAACCTGTATGTGTGTGTGTGTGTGTGTGTGTACAAATGTATGTTTTAAAGTTTACACTCCCAGCCAGAGATACAATTATTTTAGCCAGGGAGATTATATTGAGATTATGAATGATTTCGCCTTTTTTAAATCATTGTTAGTGGTTAGGTCATTCGTCTTTGTTTGCAAATGTATTCCAATGTGGTTTTACTGCAAATGGCACATAAAATGAATCTGAATCTGAATCAGGACACAGACCTCAGGCTTGGGCAGCGCAGGAAACTTGTCTCTCCTCATATTACTTCAGAAAATCCTAATATACACTTGCAGCCAAACAGCTCAACTTGCTTCCAGCTTCAGCAGTTGTCTCCTTTGGCACAGTGCCCGTTCATGAATGTCCATGTTTTTTTGCTCTTGAAACAGCTTAGCTCTGCGGTTCATTGCTGGCAGATGAAAATAGATTTTTTTTTTGAATTCCTCCGGGTCTGTATTTAGCTTTCAGACCTGACCGCAATGTGCACCCTGAGATGTGCAAGTTCTAACACACACAGTTACATGCTTACAGAAGCCTAGGTATTTACAGAGGCTGAGGATTTTTACCAAGAAGAATGGGCGGCTTTACCATCAGAGAGGAGAAAGAACCTCATCCACAACTACTAAAAAGACTCCAAACTATCAGATGTTAAAGGGGACCATGCAAGCTACTGAGAAGTTAAAATCAGGGTCATTTCAATATTGTCTGTTGCTAAATATATTTCTATAATGGAACACGTTTATTGGTTTTGCTTTGCCTTTCTTTTGCACACCTGACTGATCCTATTTATGCCAAATGTGACATGTACATTTCTCCATTGTGAGATCAATAACGTTATTTGCCAATCAGATAACCACTAACAATGACTGAAAAATCACATACTCTGATATATGGCCCACAAAAATACCTTTCTTCCCTGGTGAGTAATCGTTCAAGCTTACTTACTGTAAAGAATACTGATGCTAATAAGAGCCCCACAGAGAAGATGAGTCCCCTGCTGTTCAGATGCACCTGTGGAAATACATTCAGTCTCTCAAAAATAGTCCATTAACTCAATTATTTAAGAGGCCGAAGAATAATGTCTCTATTCCGGTTGGCAACAACACAACTACCGTGACACCATGCTTACACTTATCCACCAAGTAAATTCAATCATGCAGCCATACATTTAAAGGCAAACTTTTATACATTGTAATACATATTGATGTTTTAATATGCAATTCTAGAATATCAAGTATTTCTCTGTAATGCATTAACCTGGGGCAAAACCTGTTTACTTGTTTCGGCACGGTGGCTGAGTGGATAGCACTCTCGCCTCTCAGCAAGAAGGTCCTGGGTTCGAATCCCGGTTGGACCAGGGCCTTTCTGAGTGGAGTTTGCATGTTCTCCCCGTGTCTGCGTAGGTTTCCTCCGGGTGCTCCGGTTTCCCCTACCACTAAAAATATGTACAATAGGTCTGGCATGTGCCTCCTGTACTGGCACGCCCACTCCAAAAATTACAATTGTAAACCGCTTTGAGACTCCGATGTGCAGTGAAAAGGCGGTATATAAATAAAGATTACTTACTTACTTACTTACCCTTAATGTAAGCATTACTTTTACTTTACAATGTACAGGTATTAAGAAACAGGTAATTATTTTAGTGTACCATGTTTTGCCACAATGACACTGGCTATAGGTGGACAAAATGTGCTTTCATTTCCAATTCAGCTGGAGCGGTTAATTTACAGGTATGGTACAGTCTACTTTGTACTGTCATTGACTTTGGCCTGTGTTGAACTGTGGCTGTAGGTTTTTACTCACGCTGGAGCCGTAGTCGATGCAGAGGGTTTGCAGAGTCCAGGGCAGCCCCAGTCCCACCAGGATGTCAAACACGTTACTGCCGATGGAGTTGGAGATGGCCATGTCCCCGAGACCTGCAGCAACAGCAACATCACTGATTTATCCACAGAACCCCACAGGAATGATCTCAACAGTGATGACAGTCCATTCATAAGTATTGCCCAAAGATACTTTGGTCAGTGAAATTAAGACACATATGACACAAGATTTTAATACATGCTTGTTATAAAAGCAGTGTTTCCTGGTCAACAGAAAGAATCTAAGTAAGGCCGATTATTATTTTGCATGTAGAACAACCGAGCTTTTGCTTCTGTGTCTGTGTCTATATTTTGGTCATGAAAACAGTTGCTAAGGAGGTTTTGCTGGCTTTTCTCTCATATTGTAGTCCCTATACTGTATATAATTTCTACGATCTACGATTCTTTTGACCATCATATAAGCTGTTGTTAACTAGATACAGCCCTAAATTATTTAAATATTACCTTGTAATAAAACTGTGTAGTTTTTACTGCCGTCTAGTGTTGAGATCATATATTGCAGTCCAGGGTACTACGGAAGCCTTCGAAAAACAATATGTCATCTTTGACAGTGCTCCTCAACTCTCAGTTATTCACCGGGGCCAAGGAAAGAATCCTTTAGTTTGATAAAAGACCGGATCTCTCCAAACGTTTCGGGCACTTGACACAGTCACGTGGAGCCGACATGTAAACAAGACCACGTTCTGAAGCCGCACCCGCTGCACAGAGGCTCTACTGAGCTTTACCATGGATCTATTTTAATATATAGTTTTACAAACGCGGTGTGAAGAGAAGAGACGCATGGAGGATTAACGTCTGCGGGAACTTAAAACTACGGTGATCAGAGAAGTAGGACATTTACACAGCTGCAGGACATATACACAGCTGCAGGACATATACAGCTGCAGGAGATATACACAGCCGCGGCAGGACATGGCTAAAAGCTCATGTAAGCATTAGCGTTAGTCACAGCGCCCTATCTGCGGGAAGAAAACAGAACATTCACTTACGCTGCTGATAAAGTATTCTGGTGATTGTTTTGTGGGGATTCTGTGTGTTTTCTTTGATGCTTGGCCCTGAATAATTGATTGACTGCGGAACCTTCCGCAGTCAACCATTGGTTTTGGTGTTCTTTATTCCGTCTTTTTCCTGATTTTTGACACGTTTCACAGCTTTCACATTTTCAACAATTTCCACAAGTTATACATCAAAACGTTCCACATGTTTGGGAGATTATTGCTATTACTTTTGGGACTTCAGCGATTTCCGGTTTTTCCGCAATCGGACAAAAATCGGTCGATTTTTCCCATTGACTTATAATGGGGCTTCCACAAATTCATAGTTTTCAGAATTTTCTTCAACATTTTCAGCATTTTCTGCAGTTTGTGCATGTTCAGCTTCCACAACTTGTGAGTTTTCAGAAAAAACTAGAAACCGTTGCAATGGCTGAAGCCATTGCGATTGACTGCGGAACAGATCTAATGTGGAATTTAGCTGAAAAATCCTTGAAATCCTTGAAACTGTTAAAATACTTTAAACATCTTTGAAACTCCTGAAGTATTTGAAGCTCCTGATATCCTTTAAACTGTTATCCTTTATACTGGTTTACATGTAAAAACCCCTATTAAGTTGCATTATACTGGTTTACATGGAAAAATCCCCATTAAGTTGCATTATACTGGTTTACATGTAAAAAACCCTATTAAGTTGCATTATACTGGTTTACATGTAAAAACCCCTATTAAGTTCCATTATACTGGTTTACATGTAAAAACCCCTATTAAGTTCCATTATACTGGTTTACATGTAAAAAACCATATTAAGTTCCATTATACTGGTTTACATGTAAAAAACCCCTATTAAGTTGCATTATACTGGGTTACATGTAAAAACCCCTATTAAGTTGCATTATACTGGTTTACATGGAAAAATCCCCATTAAGTTGCATTATACTGGTTTACATGAAAAAAACCCTATTAAGTGGCATTATACTGGTTTACATGAAAAAAACCCTATTAACTCATTCACTGCCCATGACGACAAAAGTCGTCATGTTGAATAGTGACGCTCACTGCCCATGACGAGTATGACGAGTTTTTCGTGTTATTACACGGGAGGCTGCAGTAATGTCTGGCGCACCTTGTGAATGACCCACAACACTGATATATTGTGCAAATGTACCTGTAATGATAAATCAACACCATTAGGATGCAGTATTGCACCACAGGAGAGGTCATAAGTCAGTGGAGAGGAGGAGTGTGGGGTCTTTGGAGAGCGTGCTGCTGTAGCAGAGCGATGATAGCGTAGCATTGAGACAGATCAGTGATCTAGTTTAGCAATAGTATAGCAAGAGTGATGGCGAAAAAGAATAGTTATAAGCAGTTAACACTGCTTCAGAGATTGACTCGCGGATCAGTGAGTGAGGTCGAGAGGGGAGAGAGTGGAGACCCCGGTGGAGGTCCGTCTCTGCAGCTACATTTGCGCGGAGCAAGAGCCCCGAGCAGAGACACACCCTCCGCCTCTCGCAGCGTATCAGCTGCTGCTGTTACTGATGCCTCGGATTCGTTCAGCAAACCTGATCATGATTTATCGGACACACTCACAAACACTCACACGCACTCACTCACTCGCACACTGATATTCACACACACAGACACTCACTCACACACTGACACTCACTCACACAGACACTCACTCACACAGACACTCACTCACACAGACACTCACTCGCACACTGACATTCACACACACACACACAAATTCACATGCTTCATTCTATTTTATACATCTATAGTTTTATTGATCTTTGTGTTGTTGTTGTTTGACGTTTTGGTTAAATTTTAGTTAAATTTTCTATCTGTGAATAAATTGCCAACAATTTGCCATCAAAAGTATTATTTCAGAGTCATGTTTTTATAATTTTTGTAATGGAACAAGTGTGAAGATGTTTTGAGTTTTCACTAAAGCAGCAAAAATGCATCTAAAAGTCTCTTTTCTGCTTGATATGTTCCTGTTTACATACAGCTCGTTTCCTCTGTTTTCTTGCTCAGACCAGGTGTTATGGGTGAAAGTATGCTTTGTTCTATGGCGAATAACGCAAGAACGGTAAGAGGTAGAAACAAACTGTTTTTTTCAGAGTAAAGCAGAGAGGTTAATCTTTAATTTGGTGCCCTTGGTGTTTACATCGTCTAAAAAATGAATATTCTGTGGCACTTCAAAGTTGGGTCAAATCACCTGAAATTGCTGGCAGAATGCACTTCTCAAATCTGAAAATGCCTGGCAGTCAATGAGTTAAGTTGCATTATACTGGTTTACATGGAAAAATCCCTATTAAGTTGCATTATACTGGTTTACATGGAAAAATCCCTATTAAGTTGCATTATACTGGTTTACATGGAAAAAACCCTATTAAGTTGCATTATACTGGTTTACATGTAAAAACCCCTATTAAGTTGCATTATACTGGCTAGGGGCGACAGTAGCTCAGTTGGTAGAGCATTGGCCTTAAGCCCAGAAGGTCGTGGGTTCAATTCCCACCTCTGCACCTTCTCCACCGACTCCCACTGATGACTGCTGTCGTTGTGTCCTTGGGCAAGACACTTAACCCCACTTTGCCCAAAGCCCCCACTGAAAGATCAAGGCTATGCTCACAGTCAGAGAGCAGCCGTCCTCCTGTGGACTCACCACCTGCAGAGGGTCAGTGAGGGGCTGGTGCTATGAGACTTGGGTGGCATCTCTGACTGCCACCCCCCTGACCCAGAAATGGATTAAAGGGAAGAAAATGGATGGATGGATGGATGGATATACTGGTTTACATGGAAAAATCCCCATTAAGTTGCATTATACTGGTTTACATGTAAAAACCCCTATTAAGTTGCATTATACTGGTTTACATGGAAAAATCCCTATTAGGTTGCATGATTACACTGAAGTCCTTGAAACTGCTGAAGTCCTTGAAACTGTTGAAGTCCTTGAAACTGTTGAAGTCCTTGAAACTGTTGAAACCTTGAAACTGTTGAATCCTTGAAACTGTTGAATCATTGAAACTGTTGAATCATTGAAACTGTAGAAATGTCTGAAAGAGCTGAAGTCCTATTAAAATGCATGGGCCTATTAAAATGCATTGCAGAATTCTCAATGCAAATTAATGGCAGAATTCCCAAGCCCGTAGAAAAAAACTGGAAAACTGCAGAACTCTAATTTTTTCTGAAAACTCACAAGTTGTGGAAGCTGAACATGCACAAACTGCAGAAAATGCTGAAAATGTTGAAGAAAATTCTGAAAACTATGAATTTGTGGAAGCCCCATTATAAGTCAATGGGAAAAATCGACCGATTTTTGTCCGATTGTGGAAAAACCGGAAATCGCTGAAGTCCCAAAAGTAATAGCAATAATCTCCCAAACATGTGGAACGTTTTGATGTATAACTTGTATAAAATTGTTGAAAATGTGAAAGCTGTGAAACGTGTCAAAAATCAGGAAAAAGACGGAATAAAGAACACCAAAACCAATGGTTGACTGCGGAAGGTTCCGCAGTCAATCAATTAGAGTTCTGCAGTTTTCCAGTTTTTTTCTACGGGCTTGGGAATTCTGCCATTAATTTGCATTGAGAATTCTGCAATGCATTTTAATAGGCCCATGCATTTTAATAGGACTTCAGCTCTTTCAGACATTTCTACAGTTTCAATGATTCAACAGTTTCAATGATTCAACAGTTTCAATGATTCAACAGTTTCAAGGATTCAACAGTTTCAAGGACTTCAGCAGTTTCAAGATTTCAAGAGTTTCAAGGACTTCAACAGTTTCAAGGACTTCAACAGTTTCAAGGTTTCCACAGTTTCAAGGACTTCAACAGTTTCAAGGACTTCAGCAGTTTCAAGGACTTCAGCAGTTTCAAGGACTTCAACAGTTTCAAGGTTTCCACAGTTTCAAGGTTTCAACAGTTTCAAGGACTTCAACAGTTTCAAGGTTTCCACAGTTTCAAGGTTTCAACAGTTTCAAGGTTTCAACAGTTTCAAGGTTTCAACAGTTTCAAGGACTTCAACAGTTTCAAGGACTTCAACAGTTTCAAGGACTTCAACAGTTTCAAGGACTTCAGTGTAATCATGCAACCTAATAGGGATTTTTCCATGTAAACCAGTATAATGCAACTTAATGGGGATTTTTCCATGTAAACCAGTATAATGCAACTTAATAGGGGTTTTTACATGTAAACCAGTATAATGGAACTTAATAGGGGTTTTTACATGTAAACCAGTATAATGCAACTTAATAAGGATTTTTACATGTAAACCACTATAATGTAACCTAATAGGGGTTTTTACATGTAAACCAGTATAAAGCAACTTAATAGGGATTTGTACATGTAAACCAGTATAATGCAACCTAATAGGGATTTTTCCATGTAAACCAGTATAATGCAACTTAATAGGGATTTTTCCATGTAAACCAGTATAATGCAACTTAATAGGGATTTTTCCATGTAAACCAGTATAATGCAACCTAATAGGGATTTTTCCATGTAAACCAGTATAATGCAACTTAATAGGGATTTTTCCATGTAAACCAGTATAATGCAACCTAATAGGGATTTTTCCATGTAAACCAGTATAATGCAACCTAATAGGTTGCATTATACCACCAGACCAAGACCCAAACGAAGACTCAGACCACCACCAGATAATGACCACAGACCAGGTTTCCTTAGTTACAGGAACCAAATTGTTTCAGCGGTGAGGGGATTTTTCAGTTTCAAGGACACTTTCAATACATTCAGTAGTTTCAAGGATTTCAACTGTTTAAGAATTTAACCAGTTTCAAGGATATCAGGAGGTTCAAGGATTTCAGGAGTTTCCACACTTTCAACAGTGCCCAGGTTTAAAAAAGTTTCAAGGATTTAAGGAGTTTCAATGTTTCAACAGTTTCAAGGATTTCAGGATTTTAAAGGTTTCAACAATTTCAAGGACTTCAGGAGTTTCAAATATCTATCAAGTATTTTAACAGTTTCAAGGCCTTTTAAAGGATTTCAAGGATTTTTTTTAGCAGATTTCCACATTAGATCTGTTCCGCAGTCAATCGCAATGGCTTCAGCCATTGCAAGTTTCTAGTTTTAATTGAAACTTATGACAAAGTAGTTGGACTGCGCTCGGATCGGGTCAGAACATACTCAAAATTACACAGGGTGGCTTTGAGAAACAGGTGTATTGAGAGGCAAATATTGTATTCTTATTCGAGTACCTTGTCTTGCCACGATGACACTGGCCATGCAGTCCGGGACACTGGTGCCCGCTGCCAGGAAAGTAATGCCCATAATGACGTCAGGAATGCCCAGTGTAAAACCAATGACAGTCACCTGGAAATAAATCACAATTAGCTAACAAAAATGCACGTTTAGTATAGGCCATGTTTCAGCTCCCTTCTTAATGTAGAACTGTAAATTTATAGCGTCATTTTGGATTGAGTCCATACAAAATACGCAAACCGCACTATATAACGATACTATATAGAATACCTCAAAAAACAAGTCTCTAGTACGTCTCTAGTACGTCTATCTCCAATGTCAATGAAATGAACTTATAAACTGGGGTATCTACAATATAATAAAATCCATCCAAGCTATTTCTCGCTTCTAAAACAGTTTTGTTCCATGTCTTGTTTTAACAGATATGTATCACTCAAGCAATTAGCCTAAAGCATTGAAATAGTGACTCTCAGGACTAGGGGTGGGAACCTAAGGGTACCTCACGATACGATACGATACATGATACAAAGCTCACGATAACGATATTATCACGATAACGATATTATCACGATAACGATTTTATCACGATATGACGTTTATCGATATTTTGGTCAGAAATATACAATATGCCAATTTATGGTATAAATAAAAGAAAAACTACACTTTATTTCATGATAAATGGAATGGAGATGCGTAATGTAGCCATATATTAAGTATTGATACCAATTTTTTTTTTTAAATGTAAAAAAAAAAAAAAATCGATATTGATACTTGGCAAATGCATATCGATAATCGAATCGCGGGAGAAAGTATCGCGATATATCGAAAAATCGATATATCGTCACACCCCTACTCAGGACCCTTTCTCACAAGTGTCCAATGTTTATATTCTGGATACTATCTTATAAGGAGAAGAACACATGTTGTGGTCTTAAATTTTCACGTTACTTGTATAAGACTCTTTCTCATCTCTCTTTCTTTTGATACAAACAGAATGTAAAGTTTATGAAAAAGGTTAGGTAGCCCCAGCTTTAAATAACTGCCTTTTTGACTGAAAACACTTGCGGTTTTCATCCAATCAAGACGTTCTTTGGTTCGAACCTTGTACAAACAAGTGCATAAATATATATATAAGGTCTATACCGGTCATTTAAAATAAACAGTTTAGCATTACAGTGAAATCATGAATCAATCCTCCATCATTGTCCCCGTCCCGAAGAAGCCCAGGATCACAGGACTCAACGACTACAGACCTGTAGCACTTACGTCTGTCGTCATAAAGTCATTTGAACTCTCCGGGGACCTACGCCAGGGTCCTGTTCGTGGACTTCAGCTCTGCCTTCAACACAATCCTGCCATCCCTGCTCCAGGACAAGCTCTCCCAGCTCAACGTGCCCGATTCCACCTGCAGGTGGATCACTGACCTCCTGACAGACAGGCGGCAGCGAGTGCGTCTGGGGAAGAATGTCTCGGACTCTCGGATTATAAATACAGGAGCCCCACAGGGCTGTGTTCTTTCTCCCCTGCTCTTCTCCCTGTACACCAACCACTGCACCTCCAGCCACGACTCCGCGAAGCTGATCAAGTTCGCGGACGACACCACCCTTATTGGACTCATCTCCAACAACGATGAGTCCGCCTACAGGAGGGAGGTGGACCGGCTGGTGTCCTGGTGCAGTGGTAACAACCTGGAGCTGAACACCCAGAAGACAGTGGAGATGATTGTGGACTTCAGGAAGAGCACTGTCCCCCCACCCCCACCCTCCGTGATGGACTCCCCCATCACCTCTGTGGAGTCCTTCCGTTTCCTGGGCACCACCATCACCCAGGACCTCAAGTGGGAGCCGACCATCAGCTCCCTCATCAAGAAGGCCCAGTAGAGGATGTACTTCCGGCGGCAACTCAGGAAAGCCAAGCTGCCTGCACAGATGTTGGTGCAGTTCTACACGGCCATCATCGAGTCCATCCTCACCTCCTCCATCACCGTGTGGTTCGCTGGAGCCACAGTCAGGGACAAACAGAGACTACAGCGCATTGTGCGCTCTGCAGAGGAAGTGATCGGCCGCAGCCTTCTATCGCTGCAGGACCTGTACGTCGCCCGAGCTCGAGGCCGGGCTGGTCGTATCACAGCCGACCCCTCTCACCCTGCACATGGACTATTCCAACCACTCCCCTCAGGCAGGAGGCTGCGGTCCATCAGGACTAGAACCTCCCGCCACAAGAACAGTTTCTTCCCCTCTGCTGTTGGACTCTTGAACGCTTCTTAACCTGTCCCCCCGCCCTTTATAAAGTCACTTTACTTCACTGTACTGCTGTCACCTTACATTGTGTGCACCATGTGCACTTTTATATTGTAAATAGTAACTGTAATTCTATTTTAAATTTAAATGTATTCCTTAGAAGTGTTTATTCTATATTTTTATTATCTCTCTCTGACTGTTGCACTGAGCCAAAGCAATTTCCAAGTCTGTGACTTCCTGTTACTTACGTGGCAATACAAATTATTCTGAGTCTGATTCTGATTCTGATGTAGGATCAGAATGTGCTTTGTATCAGGCCACTCACCATCCACACCATGATGTAGGAGAGGCCAGCGATCCAAAGGGTGGCGGTGAAGAAGGAGACCAAGAACCATCTCTCCCAGCGCCGTTTGGCACAGTTTGGTACGGTCAAGAACAGCAGCAGCGACAGAGGCCACATGAACATCCACTTCAGCTTATTACAACAACCAGCTGTGGAAAAGAACAGGAGATAATAATGAAACTGCAATCAAGAGATGACAGTGACAAGTGTGATGAAGGCTCCATTATAAGTGTGATAACTTCTGTGTTTTCATAAGCAAAACCCAGGCCATTCAAATTGTAGAATTTGTTGTCCAGGCGATCGGAAAATACTGGTTTCTTGCAATAACACACATCTACAGTTAGAACTGTAGATGCGTCAGAGTGACAATGTCCCTTAAAAAAGATCCGTATGCTTTCCCAGCATGCACTGTTTCCATCCATTATGTCTGTTGTAATATATGTTTGTTTTGCTCTTTGCTGTTGAATAACTGTCATAAGGAGCGCAAATATGTTGTCCGCAGCCGGCCTTGATGTTTATTCATCAAACTGAATTTCTCCATCTGTGAGATAATAAAGGATTGATTGATTGATTGATTGAACGTGCAGAGGTTTAAGCACATTTGGAAGTGACAAGCAAGTACTTCAACAAAAGAAAAAAACCTTGAGACGTCTTTCTCCTGTTTCCAAATTCACCGATCCCTTCTCTTGTGTCACTATTTGTTTGTATGTTTCTCTGCCTTAGGACAATGGATGCAGTTTAGCTATTGTGATAATTCCAGCATATTTAGGTTGATGCTGTTTTCCGACATATTGATTCATATGTACTGTCCAAAATTTAAATAAATGAAATAAATAGATCCAAAGTCTTCACTTGGCCAAGTAGCTCATAATACTTATTGTAATAATTCAATTCAATTTGTTTTTGAATAGACCTAAATCACAACTGTTATCTCGAAGGACTTTACAACGTCAATTGGTCAGCACAGATCCAAGAATCAAACAGTTCAAATATGCAAAGATAAAAAAGTTCTGAAAAGTTCTGATAAAGCTGATCTAAAGTTGCCAAAATGACAGGCAGGTGTTTCAAGAGCCAAGAACTAGTTAGATCAATAATACAATGTTGTGTGGTTTGAAAGTTATGGACCCCAGCTTTAATTCACATATTGTTTGAATGTTTTGAGGGATTGTGTGACATCATTTGTGAATACGTTTTTGCACCTGGCACTTTGAAGGGTACCAGTGGGCCGCCACCGCCGCCGTCCTCTTCTCCCTCTCCCTCGTTCTCGTTGTTGTCGTCGGCCTCGTTCTCGGTCTCGTTGTTGGACTCGAGCCTCTGCAGGCGACACCTCCCGTTCAGTCCCTGCTCTATGGCGCTGATGCCGTTCTCCAGCCCCCACCGGCCCTGAGGTCTGGGGCCCGCCTCCGAGTCCCCGTTAGAAAAGCGGCTCACGCGGGTCTCTGTGGTGTTGATCAGCCTCTGTCTCTGCAAAAACAAATCATGGTTGTGTCATATTAATCACAAAGATCTAAAGATGGATAAGATATTTGTCACATACAATATAAACAACACGGTCAGTAACATGTAGTGAAATGGCTATTAACCGATACATCTTTCTTTCAGTCTCTTTACAACAATAACTATAAGGTAAAGGTAAAGGTGCACTTTATTCATCCCCGTAGGGCAATTCATCCTCTGCATTTGACCCATCCTGATGCCGCAAAGGCTTACGTCAGGAGCAGTGGTCGCCGTAGTAACAGCGCCAGATGTTGATGCTCGGCTTGGTCAGGACTAACAGAGCTGGAGGATTTAACCTAGTGTGCATGTTTTTAGTGGTAGGGGAAACCCGGAGTACCCGGAGGAAACCTACGCAGGCACGGGGAGAACATGCAAACTCAGCCGCCCTGCCGCCATAACTACGGACCCAAGGTGTGTTGCATTTTATTATTCTAAAGCTGAACTATACCTAGCTATAAAAAAGTGTAAACAAATATTAGTTACTAGGTCACAAAACTGTTTGGTTCTATATCGGTTATATCCATGTAGCATTTTTCGCCTCTGTCTTTAGATCAGCTGTATTACCCCGGACAACTACAGTAACCAATCAGATTTGACTTCTGCTTATGGGCAGTACAATAGTGAACTGATCCGCCCCGCTTCTGATTAGTGCTTTGGTTGCTAGAAGTTTCAAATAAGGTTTGGTGAAAGGCCTTAGCCTCGAAATCGTGGTCTGTAAATAAAAGACACTTGGGAGTTACATAGCTGTGCAAATTTTTATTTTTTTATTTTGGTTGCTAGGTTGTTGCTATCCCCAAATTTGACTCCAGACTCTCACCCATGGAGTGTGTTGGAACTAGCTCTAATCTAATTCTCTTGTGCTTTGGCTTCCCCGTGTGGTTTAGAATGAACACGACTGTATTTCTTGGCAATAGAAACCTATGGAAATAAATAGCAAAGAAATCCAGTGTGTACCTCGTTGATGAGCATGCGTGAGGCCATGGTGAGGCGAGTGCGCGGGGAGAAGTGGCTGGTGATCATGATCCTCATCCCGGCCTCAGAGAAGGACAGCTGGTGTGGGTATGCCGACAGCAGCTCATCCACCATCAGCACCGATGGGGCACTGTGGAAGTTTGCTGTTCCACAAGAAAACAAGAACACAACAATGATATTCACAGGGGTGGGAATTTATAAGATTTTTCTACCTCACACTCCTTTTCGAGTTTGAATTATGTACCATATTGTGATAAGTACAATTCTATGTAGTGACATTTGATTATGAATGCTTTCAAAATTAATAACCACTTAACTCAACAATATCCTCAAATTGTCTGCTGTGAAATCACTATCTATAAAACCAGTACATCATAACTGCAGTATCTCTACTAGACCAAAGAATTGTTGTATGTAATTATTCTTCATCTAACCCCTTTTTGAACAGAAACACATGGTGCGCACCTGTTTTTAAGTCGCATCAAAAACTTGAAAATAGAAGCGGCGTTTAGTCTAGTACGGCTAGCGGCTAGTTAGCTTGTTATTTGTCTGCTATATGAATCTGATGTGAAGATACATTGATGCGGTGGAACTCTTTACCTTTGCATATTAGAGCTGCACAATCACTCGAGCACTTTAAATCCTTGTTCAAGACGCACCTTTTCTCTTTGGCTTTTAATACCAGGTAGAAAGAGACAAGATTTATTGTTTTTTATGTGTATTTATATTCTTTATTGTGCTTTGATTCTGCTTTTCTATATTGTGCTTGTTCTTGTCTGTACAGCACTTCGGTAAGCCAAGGCTGTTCTAAATATGTTTAACAAATTTAGATTTGATCGATTGATTGATGTGAAGATGTGTGTATATGTTTAAGGCTTTGAAGGTTATTTTAATGAGACAAGAAAGTAAAAAAAGCTATCCATTTCCATCCATCCATTTTCTTCCCCTTAATCCATTTCTGGGTCGAGGGGGGTGGCCAGAGATGCCACCCAGTACACAGAGCACCAGCCCCTCACTGATCCTCCTGCAGGTGGTGAGTCCACAGGAGCTGAGATCTTTCAGTGGGGGCTTCAGGCAAAGTGGGGTTAAGTGTCTTGCCCAAGGACACAACGACAGCAGACATCAGTGGGAGTCGTGAAGTAGGTCTTACGGTGAGCTCGAACCCATGACCTTCAGGCTCAAAGGCCAATGCTCTACCAACTGAGCTACTGTCGCCTCATTAAAAAAAAAAAAAGTAAAAAAAGCTAGTACTGCCTAATTACCTGCAGTACTAGCTTTCTTTACTTACTTTTTATCTAATTAAAAGAACCTTCAAAGCCTTAAATATAAGATAATATTAAGTTTTTACAATTGTATGTGTGTATGTTTAATGTAATATAAGTATACTAGCAATAGCAGCTTTGTACAGTCTCACATATATGCAAAAATATGTATCTGTTGTAAATAATACTGCATTTCGTTGCATTGTTCTGACTTTGTAACAATAATAAAATTGAATCTAATCTAATCTAATGCGTTGTGAAGGTTATGTGTTGTGCCAGTTTTTAATAAATACTCTAATAAACCTACATTTGTCTAATCTATATCTGTCTAAGTTTGGCTGAAGAAAGTGTGAATGTGCACGTATAGCAGAGGGTCACTGCACCACACTGCAGCACATCCAAACAGTGTCAGGCTGAGCACCTTTAGCTGCTTCACTGCTCTCAGAGAAAACCCTGTGGGCCCAGTTAGCAGCCTCCCTCTCGCTGTGAGCAGTATTATAAGCAAACTTCCAGTGATTTCCGTGCACTTATGACATTGTAACATCTGTAGAAAAGTTTATTAGGAGAGCAGTGTTTCCCAAAAAATGTGGTTTCCAGTTTAGATCTGACAATGAATGCAGTTTTATTTTAAACAAAGACCAAGGTTATGTCTCGGTAATATGAAAGTGCTGAAAAACATGAAAAAGTGCCTCTCGTAATTTGCATTTTTTGGTTTAATCTAATGATCCATTTTATCAGTTGTGGATTTTTGTGTTGCACAGTGAGCTTATGGTACATTTGATCATGGCCATAGGTTGTTTGTCCTCTGCATTCAACTCAGTCATGCAGCCAGCGGAAATTCAATTTGGTAGACGTCAGCCAAAGGTAACCCCTCCAGGCCGGTTCTCATCCCCAGCCTATCGCACTGCAAACGCCCCCTTCCAATCACCGTACCGGCCAGGCTACTCCCACTCTCGGCCTTCTCGAAGCCTCGCAAGCCCTCGAAGCCTTGCAGAGAATCGTCTGGAGGAATCGTTTTCGTCTACTCACGCTACTCGGCGCGACCCTGGCGTCCTCCGTCTGGCTGCTTGTGGTCTGCTCCTCCTCCGCGTCCCTGCACTGGTCTGCTCCTCCTCCGCGTCCCTGCACTGGTCTGCTCCTCCTCCGCGTCCCTGCACTTGGTCTGCTCCTCCTCCGCGTCCCTGCACTGGTCTGCTCCTCCTCCGCGTCCCTGCACTGGTCTGCTCCTCCTCCGCGTCCCTGCACTGGTCTGCTCCTCCTCCGCGTCCCTGCACTGGTCTGCTCCTCCTCCGCGTCCCTGCACTGGTCTGCTCCTCCTCCGCGTCCCTGCACTGGTCTGCTCCTCCTCCGCGTCCCTGCACTGGTCTGCTCCTCCTCCGCGTCCCTGCACTGGTCTTCTCCTCCTCCGCGTCCCTGCACTGGTCTTCTCCTCCTCCGCGTCCCTGCACTGGTCTGCTCCTCCTCCGCGTCCCTGCACTGGTCTGCTCCTCCTCCGCGTCCCTGCACCTGCTGTGGTTCGCATATCTCCACTGCTCTCCTCCTCTGCGGGCTCTTTCTGCGGGCTGCTCCGCGGGTTCTGTGCGGCTCGTTCCTCGTGGTCTGCTGCCGCACGCAGACGGTCTGGCGGTGCCGTGCGTGTCCCTGCCTCGATTGGCGGTGCCGCGTTGTCCCGTTGCTTTTCCCAAGTCTCCTGGGATGTGAGTACAGTGAGTGTGCTGACCGCGGACAGATTAATCCCGGAGTTTTGGGCTGCAGGCGATTGGTTTTTGCCCCGCGCACTTGACTGCAGGCGTCAGTTTTTTCGCCCCGTGCTTGGTCTGCAGGCTCCGTTTTCACACGTGTTTGAGCTAACCGAGGGGCAATGCATATTAAATGGCATCAATCTCTATTGCTGAGGGATATAAGAGGAGCAATGTGCATTAATTCAGATTCATGTTCTGCCACTTGCAGTAAAACCATGCATTTAAATAGCTAGGTCGCTGGTATTAAATTAGGTAACTAACTGCAGTTGTTGCATTTTGAAAGTGCAGCAGAAAGAAAAAGGGCCCAACATGAATCTGCAATGGGTGTGAAGTGGTGTTGGAGCTATGAACGCATGGATCAGTGATCGTTCATGCGTATCTGCCATAACCAAAGCAGCAAGATGGCTCCAGGGGACGTCTGTTATTCGCATGGGAATGTTTCGGATTCGGGTCGATTTATTTCCTCAGGCTGTTAAACGACCATGGGCATGGTCCTCTGACCGCCGCTGCTGCCGGTCCCCGCTGCCGTTCCTACTGATGCCTGATCCCGCCGCCGCTGTTCCTGCTGCCGCTCCTGCTGCTGTCTATCCCTGCTGCCTGCTCCTACTACTACACGTGCCGCTGCTGCTGTTCCTGCCGCTGCCGCTCCGCAGGCTCCCAGGCTGCACCTGTCTCTACGGCTCGGCTCCTTCAGACGCGTACGTAACCTGGCTCACGGAGTCAAGCGGCGCACGCTGGCGTGACACGTCTGTTGTTCGTATGAATCGCATCGTGGTGCTGCTGCTCCCGCTAATGCTGCTTCTCGTACTGCTACCGCTACTGCTGCTACTGCTGCCGCTGCTGCTTCATACTGCTACTGCTGCCGTGCTGCTGCTGCTTCATGTACTTTGTCATCTCTCCTCACTTCGCTTCTCTTACTGAAACACTAAACAGCTACAACATATCCTACTGCTGTGGCTTCGATACAGGATTTTTGCCGTTGTTATCTACGGATGCTGCTGCTGCCGCGGCTTGATACAGGATTGTTGCGTTATTATCCGAGGTTACTGCTGCTGCCGCTACTGCTGCTGCTACTGCTACTGCTGCAGCCCACTCTCTCAGAAGCTTATCCTGCTTCTAATGGATGCAGCCCGGCCGAGTATGCCGCGCTGCGCTGGACTCGCACCTATGCTCCCAGGGTCGCTTCGGCGGTCATGCTTCATCTCTCTACTTAATCTTCTGATTCTATCAGATGCAGCTGGCCGAGTGGCTGCGCTGAGCCGTCAATCGGACTCCTAATCAAAGGCATCCATACCTGTATTCTTCACTCTTCTGATCGCAGGCTCCCCATCATGCTGCCCATCCTGCAGCGGCTCTGAGCGGCACTGAACTCTGGCTCTTCTTCCAAGTACACGTCTGCCCTCCTCGCAGCATCTTCCTGCTCTCCTTCTATGGCTTCTCTGCATAAGCGTTTCACTACTGCTCACTCACCCTTCAGGCGGTCCGAGACACGGCTTTTCCCGACCATCCTACTATCCTGATTATCTACTCTCCGACCCAAGATTCTAAGCGTAAGGGCGCCTGCAACTTCAATGGCCCTCTCCGATATGTCTCTGCCCCTACAGGTCTCCGCTTCTACACGGACGTGCCCCTTCCGTGGGTTTTGGGGGGTTTTTTCTAGGACCATTGGTTTGCCGGGCCGTGGCCGCTACTTTCCACCGGAGCATCTCCTCTGCCCTACACGAGATATTCCCAGTGGTCGTGGCCTGCGCGCGGCGAAATCACACGTGGCAGAGAAAGAGGATCTCCGTCATGCGTGATAATCTCGACTTCCAGGAGTTCCGACGCCTCTGCCCTTCTGCCAACCCATCACCATGCCAGATCCCCTGCATGGAATCCCTCGCCCCGGACTAGTCCCTCCGTCTCTTCACCTCCTCATCTCCTCCGCTGCATCCTACATGAAGATGGGTCTCTCACCTTCCACACTGAAATCATACAGTTTCGCGTGGAAAGTCTACTCCAGCTTCTGTCACGCCCACTGCTTTCCACTCATTCCGCCCTCTGCTGTCACGATCCATGATGCATTACACTCGCCTCCGCTCTCGGAAAGGAGATCTCAACGGACCGTTATTTCTTACCCCTGATAACCTCCCTATGTCCCCCAACTGGTTCAGAGCCCAACTCAAGTCCGTACTGCTGCTTTGTAAACTGTCTCCCCATCTCTACACAGCCCACTCCTTCCGGATAGGCGCCGCCACGCGCGCCGCGTCACTGGGGCTCCCCCATTCCGCCCTCCAGCAGCTGGGCCGCTGGTCATCATCGGCCCTCTCCTCATACATCAGGCCTTACACCTCGACCACCCTGGCAGCCCAGCGGCTTTTGGCATCTCCATAAAACACTCGCTAAACTCCTGGTGGCGGTTGCAGCTGAGTATCCGCAAGTAATGGTCACAGCAAATAGCGGTCACAGTATATAGCGATAGCGGTCACAGTATATAGCGATAGCGGTCACAGTATATAGCGATAGCGGTCACAGTATATAGCAAAAAATGGTTAGCGCATGATGGTCATCAGCATATAGCGATAGCGGTCACAGTATATAGCGATAGCGGTCACAGTATATAGCGATAGCGGTCACAGTATATAGCGATAGCGGTCACAGCATAGCGATAGCGGTCACAGTATATAGCGATAGCGGTCACAGCATAGAGTAGTCTCGACGTTCTGTCCCCTCCAAACCAGGCTGCAAAAACTCCATCAACACACAGCCTTTTTGGGGATTGGCACGCTCCATCGCAGGAGGCCCTCCGCTCTGAAGGCCGCACCGGGGCCTAGGGCGCCAAACCTCCTCCTAATAAAATACTCAAAAGCTTCTTGTTTCACGTCTCTCCAAATTGAAATGCAGCCAGCGGAAATTCAATTTGGTAGACGTCAGCCAAAGGTAACCCCTCCAGGCCGGTTCTCATCCCCAGCCTATCGCACTGCAAACGCCCCCTTCCAATCACCGTACCGGCCAGGCAAGCCGCTTAAAAGCGGAGAAACTCCCACTCTCGGCCTTCTCGAAGCCTGCAACCACCGCCTCCCCTCCTCCTCCTCTTCACCCTGCCTTCAATCCGCCTTCAATCTGCTTCCCGCTGCCAAATGCCGCCACCAGTGCCTAGGTCCCGGGGGATTGGCACGCTCCATCGCAGGAGGCCCTCCGCTCTGAAGGCCGCACCGGGGCCTAGGGCGCTAAACCTCCTCCTAATAAAATACTCAAAAGCTTCTTGTTTCACGTCTCTCCAAATTGAATTCGATGCTGGTAGTCCAAGAGTAAGCAACCTGTTACCCGCTCTTCAGCCTCATTGTATTGACAAAAAATATAACAATTTCTCTTTTAGTATTTTTTTTTCTAAATATAAGGGTTATGACAATGCATCGTACCACAGTGATGCATTAAATGATGCATTGAATTGAAACATTGACCATTTCTCCCCTGCTCTAGGACAACCTTTCGCATGTTAAGAGGCCGCCGGTGCACCTGGAGGAAACTCCCCCAGACACACAATGATCCAATAATGCAGGTTTTATACAGCGCTTTTCAGGACACTCAAAGACAATTCACATATTATTAATTCACTCCATAAACGGTGATATACTACTACTGTAGCCACAGCTGTCCTGGGGCACACTGACAGAAGCGAGGCAACATGCATGTGCCATTGGCCCCTCCCACCACCACCAAACTTATTCCCAGAGGTCTCCCATCACAATACTAACCAGGCCCTGCCCTGCACAGCTCCAGAGGTCTGACTTTCACATGCAAGTATGGCCACTAACTCGTGACCTCCTTGCTTACATATGTCCAATTACCTGCTGGCTGCCATGTCACAACCTTGCTCAGAATGTACCCCAGTGGGATATAAAACGCGTTCATTATTTAATTACAGACTTTTTAACCGCTCAAACACTATCTCTCCTGGACAGTCACACATCCTCGGAGACGCTGCTGCTATAATAAGCATAAATAGCTGCGCCGCTGTGTCCCTGCTGCCTTTGTGTAATGCAAATGTGAGTGAGAGGGGCAGATAAAATATTCATTACCTTTCTTTAGCAGCACTGCGGTGGCGTCGCAGCTCACAGCGTCGTCCAGGTCCGTGCTGCCCGTCAGACCGTTGGCCAAATTTACGGAGCCCTTCTTTCGCCGGTCGAAGTAACGCTGTGCTTTTCCATTGAACCTGAAGACGGGAAAGGGGAAATGTAGGTTATCTGTGAACTCCAGTGAAGGCTGTTGTTGTAGGTCACATGCACATGGTGGGTAAAACTGTTGAAAAGTATGAAAAGAAAAGGTGCCAAACTTTTTACTGCTCAAATATCTGGGTTGCAGCTCTACTCTCTACTCCAGCCATTCCCAAAACACTGCGGCCCCCCTTAAAAATCTGATGGGTCTGCGCGGTCCCCCAAAATAATAACCAAGAAGACAACATTAAAAATAGACTCTTCTCGTTATTTTATTTGTGGGATATAGCCTCTGTTACAAACATGTAAATGACGCACACCATTTTGGAGTACAAAAATGAGTCTCGGCCCCCCTGCAGTACCCTCGCGGCCCCCCACTTTGGCAGACACCGCTCTGCTCTATAGTCTATATGGCCCGTAGCATAGAAAAGTCACTTGCAGATGGAAAAAGTAATACAAAATTGTTATTAATCAAACAATACACCAAAAATAAAATCCATTCCAGACAACAAATAGATCAGACCTCGGCCCTTATAGCATCTATTTAAATGAATGGGAGTCAACACTGATTGTATTGTTGGCTGGCAACTATGTATATACTTCCTTGGCATGTTGTACCGCAATTCAATTAAATTCAATTTGTATAGCCCTAAATCACAACAGTAGTTATCTCAGAGGACAACAACACAGATCAGAGAATCAAACAAAAGAAATGCAACAATAAAAAACACATCGAGCCATTGGTCCATTAGGGCCCGATGACCAATGTCCATAAATGTCATTAAATGTCCTGGATCATCACCACTGTCCTTACACAGCAAAAACATATGGAATTAAAGACAAAAAATGCTCAAAGTTGGCTAAATTGTTTTGAGCACATTCCGACTGCCTTAACACAATATTTGCCAGTGGAACAAGAACAATGACCTTGTTTTGAAAAGATACATTTTCCTTGGAATGAGAAAATAAACCAATAGTTCTTGAATAAAGTCTAAATTGCTTGTCTCATTGGAATGGTCAGAATTAACTTGAAGATAAAAACCCCTCGATTCAAGCAATTACGATCTAATATTTGATCATTTTTTGGAGTGTAGACTCTCCTGCATCGGTAAGGAACAACAACAACAAAAGTCAATATTCATTCTAAAACATTTTTCATGTCAGGGAAAACAACCGCATCATTCATATTTATCTAAAGATATTAAACCAAAACTTTATTATTTTTCAAAAACACTTACACACTACACAGTCTTCTTTACCTTTTGTCCAGTTTTGATTAAATCCAAGCAAAACTGTGCTCAATTTGTCGAAGAAAACCAGCTAAAAACTACTACTGAATGCCTTTGAACTAAAATAATAGTTTTCTCAAAGTACAATGAACACAAATCCACATTACTGAAGATGCTACCGACACTATTTGGAACAATACTGTGGATAAGCCAAATGTATTCCTTCTTTAATTATCTGAAATGTCCCCACTGTGGGATGAATAAAGAAACTTTAATCTTTAATCTTTTGTTCTTCTCTCTTTAATGTTTTGTGTCATATCTTAAATATTTGTAATGTCCTGGATTGGGGTGTGTTTGTTCTCTTTCCACAGATCTCTGCAATTAATATATTATGTGTTGGTATTTATATATTTATACATTTCGTTACTTGAGCAGATACTACTTCCAGACACGACAAGTTTTAGTAAAAATGGAGAAAACTTACTTCATGATAAGAATGTAGATTGCATACATGAGAATAAGGACCAGCGACTCCCACCTTGGCAACAAAACAGGATTTAGTTAAAACAATATGGCTTTGAAACAGCTTTAAAAGAGAATATTTGATACATACCAGCAGACTTTCTCGTCATAAATGAACTGAAAAGACAGAAAAATGGGGTAAATTAGTTCAAGTTGCAATTGAAACAGCAAAACACTAGAGGGCATAGCTGACCCGTTGCACCTACGGCAAGAGGCAAAAGTAAAACAGATAAAAAATATGAGAAAATTACTTAATACATAAATGAATAGATAAGAGAAAGTTATCTATTACATTCTGAAAGTTAAAAACAATTATATTTCCCTTCATTTTTATTCCACAACTGTACATTTTTTGCTTGGGTTCATCCAAAATGTTGTCATTTTTTCCTGTGATTTTCTAAAGTTTGGGCCAAAACTTTCACATAGAAAATAATCATTCAACAAGACTGAGATACAAGTTATATATTCCCAGTGTAAGAATTCAGTTCTTGAGGCGCTAATATCTTATACAGAATGTAGCAGTTTTAAGCCATACGGGTGAAATTCAAAGAAAATCAATAAGTGTATCTATGGCAACAAGAACGAAGCAGACCCTGTCAGAAAGTTCTTCACAGCTCTCGACCGTTCTATAGTTGTTATATGTTTGAGCTCCTCTGCCCACCGCCATCCAACACATTCACTCTTTTTTCTAATATTGTTCACCAATTTTATTTTCTGAGTCAGTGATGATTCGCCGGGCATTATTTGCTGTGAGGAAAACCAAATTGAGGATCCTCACATATTCTGCGGTGGTGGAGCCGGGGTTTGGATGTGACCATGTTTCCCTGATGTTGTGTAAAGGAGAGCACAGCCATACATATATACAGTGTTTGTGTGAAAGCAAAATGGCCAGGTCCAAAGTCTGGTCCACGGGCCAATGACGGCCCTCAGTATCATGTTATGCGGCCTTCTGCTATGCTAAACCAAAGTAGTCATTGAGAATACAGTGTCAGCCAGCCAACTTCAGCTCCACCAATATAGTCATGCTATATCTTGTTGTAGAGCTTCCTGTCATTGACTTTGCTTGACTATATAAACCTTTGTTTGTTTTTGTGGCGCACGGTTCCATATATAGCACAAGAGTAGCTAGCAAGGAAGTAAACGTTTGCTAATGCGGTTCTCTTACAAAAGAGTTTAGAAGCCCTTTTATATTGTGTAATAAATATATAATAATAGTAATGATAGTGGCGTTGCAACATCGAAACGTACCCACTGTGGGACAAATAAAGCTTCTCTTATCTTATCCTAATGAGTCACGGCTGTCATAGATTAACACTATATTGTTATGTCTTTAAATAATACAAATGCATCGTTTTTCACCAATACAAAAATATTAAGTGATTATCATCTTTGTCATTTCATGTTTTTAGAAATTGAAATAATTGGAAGTGGAAATTTATGCCGTCAGACTGAAGAAGGAGTCCTATCGAGCAATGATGGTTCGTGGGACTCCTGAGGCAGCTGTCCAGTACCGGCAGGCCAAACGTGCCGCGGCCCGGGCTGTTGCAGAGGCAAAAACCCGGGACTGGGAGGAGTTCGGAGAGTTCGGAGCATGACTATCGGTCGGCCTCGAAGAGGTTCTGGCAAACCGTCCGGCGCCTCAGGAGGGGGAAGCAGTTCTTTGCCAACACCGTGTATGGTGCGGGTGGAGGGCTGCTGACCTCAACTGGGGATATTGTCGGGCGGTGGAAGGAATACTTCGAGGTTCTCCTCAATCCCCCCGTCACGTCCTCCGTCCAGGAGGCAGAGGCTGAGGATGTTGGGGCGGATACTTCCATCTCCCTGGCCGAGGTCACCAAGGTGGTTGGCAGCCTCCATGGTGGCAAGGCGCCGGGAGTGGATGAGATCCATCCTGACTATCTAAAGTCTCTGGATGTTGTAGGACTGTCTTGGCTGACACGTCTCTGCAACATTGCGTGGCGATCGGGGGCGGTGCCAATGGAGTGGCAGACCGGGGTGGTGGTCCCTCTCTACAAGAAGGGGGACCGGAGGGTGTGTTCCAATTATCGTGGGATCACACTCCTCAGCCTCCCCGGTAAGGTCTACTCCAAGGTACTGGAGAGGAGGCTACGGCCGATGGTCGAATCTCGGATCCAGGAGGGGCAGTGTGGTTTTCGTCCCGGTCGCGGAACACTGGACCAGCTCTATACTCTCCATCGGATACTCGAGGGTTCATGGGAGTTCGCCCAACCTGTCCACATGTGCTTTGTGGATTTGGAGAAGGCGTTCGACCGTGTTCCCCGGGATGTCCTTTGGGGGGTCCTCCTGGAGTACGGGGTCCGGGGTCCTCTGCTGAGGGCCGTCCGGTCCCTGTATGACCGGAGTCAGAGCTGTGTTCGCATTGCCGGCAGTAAGTCAGACCTGTTCCCGGTGCATGTTGGCCTCCGACAGGGCTGCCCTTTGTCACCGGTTCTGTTCACTGTATTTATGGACAGAATTTCTAGGCGCAGCCAGGGGCCGGAGGGGATCCGGTTCGGGAACCACAGGATTTCATTTCTACTTTTTGCGGATGATGTCGTCCTGCTGGCTCCAACGAACCAGGACCTGCAGCATGCACTGGGGCAGTTTGCAGCCGAGTGCGAAGCGGCTGGGATGAGAATCAGCACCTCCAAATCCGAGGCCATGGTGCTCGACCGGAAAAAGGTGCCTTGCCCTCTACAGGTGGGTGGAGAGGTCCTTCCTCAAGTGGAGGAGTTCAAGTATCTCGGGGTCTTGTTCACGAGTGAGGGAAGGATGGAGCGTGAGATTGACAGGCGGATCGGTGCAGCGTGCGCAGTGATGCGATCGCTGTATCGGACCGTTGTGGTGAAGAGGGAGCTGAGCCGAAAGGCAAAGCTCTCGATTTACCGGTCAATCTTCGTTCCCTCCCTCACCTATGGTCATGAGCTTTGGGTAATGACCGAAAGAACGAGATCGCGGATACAAGCGGTCGAAATGAGCTTCCTCCGCAGAGTGGCTGGGCGCTCCCTTAGAGATAGGGTGAGGAGCTCGGTCACACGGGAGGAGCTCGGAGTAGAGCCGCTGCTTCTCCACGTCGAGAGGAACCAGTTGAGGTGGCTCGGGCATCTGTTCCGGATGCCTCCTGGACGCCTTCCTGGGGAGGTGTTCCGGGCACGTCCCACCGGGAGGAGGCCCCGGGGAAGACCCGGGACACGCTGGAGAGACTATGTCTCTCAGCTGGCCTGGGAACGCCTTGGGGTCCCCCCGGACGAGCTGGAGGAGGTGTGTGTGGATAGGGAAGTCTGGGCGTCTCTGCTTAGACTGCTGCCCCCGCGACCCGGCAACGGATAAAGCGGAAGAAAATGGATGGATGGATGGATGGAAATTTATTGATGAGACAAGTATGAAGGGTAAACATTACTTTCCACCTGTAGTTCCCAATGCTACCAGCAGAGGAAGTAGCTGAATTTGACCATTGCTGTATATATCAAACAAATATATACTAGTAGGGGCGACAGTGGCTCAGTTGGTGGAGCATTGGCCTGAAGGTCGTGGGTTCGAGCCCACCACAAGACCTACTTCAGGACTCCCACTGATGACGACTGCCGTTGTGTCCTTGGGAAAGACACTTAACCCCACTTTGCCTGAAGCCCCAGCTGGATAATCAAGGCTCCTGTAGACTCACCACCTGCAGGAGGATCAGTGAGGGGCTGGTGCTCTGTGTACTGGGTGCTACTCTGACTGCCACCCCACCGACCCAGAAATGGATTAAGGGGAAGAAAATGGATGGATGGATGGATATATAATAGCATATAATAGTGTTTATTCCAAAACCTTTCAGCCCTTTACACAACATGCTATGAAAACAGAAAATGCAGAACCATTCAGGTAACTATAACAATAACATAGCATTGGTGTATGTAAGTACTGTATGTATGTATATGTTTGTGCGTGTGTGTGGGTGTGTGCATTGTTCTTACAGCAATAAGGGCCACGATGGCGAAGGTGTAGTAGATAGAATCTCGTAGCAGCGCCCAGTGAGAAAGCTTCACCGCCTGCAGATAAAAGCAGTGAGAATATCAGCCTCTTCAGTTTAAAAAAAGAAAAAACAAACAAGAAACACACGCCTCTGAAAACATTACCATACTGATGTAAACAGACCAGCGCCCGCTCTGGCCTTGTAAGTAAAGAAAAGTGCTTGTACGGCGCTTGAGTGTGTGCAATGAGAGAAGTGCGGAGGAGAAACCATAGTGCTCTGTCTCCCACACACACAGCACATAGGTCAGGAGGCCCCGAGGAAGATCCAGCTATGATTTATTATTAATAGTGAAAGCAGAGGGGAACGCTTTGAGTAAATTCCTCATTATAGGGAAGGCTTTGTACGGGATGCAGTAAACTATATCGGGTTTTTTCAAACTTCAAACCTGCAAAGCAATCTGACAAGCCCAAAGCCAGCAGTAAAAGTGATGCAAAGTACCGCTTTTCTCTTTTTAACTTGTTTTATGTTTAAGATGGTTTCAATCTTTAGGTAAGTCCTTGTTTATGACTAAATCCGGGTTAAAATCAGTTCTGTTAAGCTGTGCGAACAACTGAGGGATTTTATATTCACTGTTTTTAATGTACGTGATTAGTTATGATTGAAAATGCCTTGAGTGATTGATCTTGTTTTGTAATGCACTTTGAGTTGCCTTGTGTATGGACTGTGACTGTGCTATACTTTGCGATACACTATATATTGGTAGTTTTGGTTCACTGTTTTGGCAGAGACTTTTTAAGACAATGTTAGCTTTTCCCCCACTTAGGGTTAGCGTAGCAGGTGAATACACATGCGGCTGTCTGTGCTTGAATCCGTTTGAATTCAATGGAAACCCTGGTTGAAATGCTCTCATGGATTTGGGGACCAATCACAGAACAGGGAGGGACGGCTAACAACGATGGCGCACTGACGTTTACAGATCCAGCAGATTGAAGCAGATAGAGGTAATCTTTCCTCCTGTTTAACTTTAAGTTCAGCACCATTGTGTAAATATTATTTGTTTTCTTCACTTTTTGTTGAATTTCTGTCACTCTACAAAAGTAATCGGGTAGAATGGATATAGACATTCATACCCCCCAATAGACAACTATAGACAATAGTGAATATTTAGTTGGGTGTCAGTCAGGCTATGGTAAGGGTTTCACACATTGTGGTTGACATAAGAGTGTGTAGAATACAGTACGATACAATTTATTCTTGTATAGCCCTAAATCACAACAGCAGTCATATCCAAGGACTTAACAAAACCATTTTTAAAATAGTATTAACATGAATACAATTGTAAATGGTGTGAGGCAATTATCAACCTAAAAACAGATAAAGCCTTGATATATCTACATGTGATGAGTCTACCATGTCTAGTTTCACATTGTACTTTTGAATTAAAGAAGTAAATGGACTTTTAGACAAGTTTACTAATGTTCTAAGTTTCAACTGTTATCTCAAACATGTGAAGATAAACTCATCTCCAGATTTGCCCGGGAGACACACATATCATCAAATAGTAAGTAAGTAATCTTTATTTATATACCGCCTTTCACAGACCAGAGTCACAAAGCGGTTTACAATTGTTATTTTCAGAATCAGAATCAGAATCAGAATCATTTTTATTGCCACGTAAGTAACAGGAGGTCACAGACTTGGAAATTACTTTGGCTCAGTGCAACAGTCAGAAAGAGATAATAAAAATAAGAATAAAAAACACTTCTAAAGAATACATTTACATTTAAAATAGAGTTACAGTTACTATTTACAATATACAAGTGCACATGGTGCACACAGTGTAAGGTGACAGCAGTACAGTGAAGTAAAGTGACGTATGATGGGCAGTAAAGTGACTTTATAAAGGGCGGGGGGACAGGTTAAGAAGTGTTCAAGAGTCCAACAGCAGAGGGGAAGAAACTGTTCTTGTGGCGGGAGGTTCTAGTCCTGATGGACCGCAGCCTCCTGCCTGAGGGGAGTGGTTGGAATAGTCCATGTGCAGGGTGAGAGGGGTCGGCTGTGATACGACCAGCCCGGCCTCGAGCTCGGGCGACGTACAGGTCCTGCAGCGATTGCAGTGATCGGCTGCGGCCGATCACTTCCTCTGCAGAGCGCACAATGCGCTGTAGTCTCTGTTTGTCCCTGACTGTGGCTCCAGCGAACCACACGGTGACGGAGGAGGTGAGGATGGACTCGATGATGGCCGTGTAGAAGTGCACCAACATCTGTGCAGACAGCTTGGCTTTCCTGAGCTGCCGCAGGAAGTACATCCTCTGCTGCGCCTTCTTGATGAGGGAGCTGATGGTCGGCTCCCACTTGAGGTCCTGGGTGATGGTGGTGCCCAGGAAACGGAAGGACTCCACAGAGGTGATGGGGGAGTCCATCACGGAGGGTGGGGACTGGGGACAGTGCTCTTCCTGAAGTCCACAATCATCTCCACTGTCTTCTGGGCGTTCAGCTCCAGGTTGTTACCACTACACCAGGACACCAGCCGGTCCACGTCCCTCCTGTAGGCGGACTCATCGTTGTTGGAGATGAGTCCAATGAGGGTGGTGTCGTCCGCGAACTTGATCAGCTTCACAGAGTCGTGGCTGGAGGTGCAGTGGTTGGTGTACAGGGAGAAGAGCAGGGGAGAAGAGCAGGGGAGAAAGAACACAGCCCTGTGGGGCTCCTGTATTTATAATCCGAGAGTCCGAGACATTCTTCCCCAGACGCACTCGCTGCTTCCTGTCCGTCAGGAAGTCAGTGATCCACCTGCAGGTGGAATCGGGCACGTTGAGCTGGGAGAGCTTGTCCTGGAGCAGGGATGGCAGGATTGTGTTGAAGGCAGAGCTGAAGTCCACGAACAGGACCCTGGCGTAGGTCCCCGGCGAGTCCAGGTGCTGTAGGATGTGGTGGAGGGCCAGGATAATGGCGTCGTCTACAGATCTGTTGGCTCTGTAGGCGAACTGCAGGGGGTCCAGGAGGGGGGAGGTGAAGGACTTGAGATGGGAGAGAACCAGGCGTTCAAATGACTTCATGACGACAGACGTAAGTGCTACAGGTCTGTAGTCGTCGAGTCCTGTGATCCTGGGCTTCTTCGGGACGGGGACAATGATGGAGGATTTGAAGCAGGCCGGGACATGGCAGGACTGCAGAGAGGTGTTGAAAATGTCAGTGAACACAGGAGTAAGCTCACTGGCGCAGTATCTCAGAGTGGCCGGAGACACGTGGTCCGGGCCAGGAGCTTTGCGGGGGTGCAGCCTCAAGAAGAGTTGTTTAATCTCTTTAGAGGCTATTGTTAGGCTGGGGGCAGGGCTGATGGGTGGGTCGTTAGAGTAGTGGGGGGTGGGGGAGGGAGAGGTGTCAGGGGCAGCATCAAAGCAACTGAAAAATAAGTTCAGTTCGTCAGCTAGCTTGTGGTCGTCAGCACAGGGGGGGGCTTTGGGTTTGTAGTTGGTGAGCTCCCGTAGGCCCCTCCAGACAGAAGCAGTATCGTTGTTACCAAACTGCTCCTGTAGTCGTTCTCTGTGCCGGGACTTGGCTGCTTTCAGTTCTTTCCTGAACTGATATTTGGCTGCTTTGTAGCTGCTGCGGTCCCCCTCCCTGAAAGCAGAATCCTTTGCTTTCCTGAGCTGCCGGATGAAGTGAATGTATGACGTCACAGTGTCCGTGTATTCATCCAAGCCGTCTGTGGCAGCTCTGAAAAGGTCCCAGTCTGTAGATTCCATGCATGCGCGCAGCTCTTCCACAGCTTCATCAGACCACACTTTGGAGCTCCTCACTGCAGGTTTCGAGAGCTTTAGTCTCTGTCTGTAAGCAGGAACCAGATGTATCATGGAGTGATCTGAGAAGCCGAGGGCTGGCTTGGGAACAGCGCGAAAAGCTCCGCGCACGGTGGTGTAACAGTGATCCAGAGTGTTCTCCTCTCTGGTCGGGCATTTGATAAACTGTCTGTATTTGGGTAATTCCTGGCTCAAGTTTCCCTTATTAAAATCCCCCAGGATAATAATCAGAGAGTCCGGGTATAAACGTTCCATACACAGTACTTGCTCTGCAAGTGCATTTGTCTCTCACTCCACACAGAGATGGGAGCGGGGTCACCAGTACAGGAGGCGCATGCCAGACCTATTGCACATGTTTTTAGTGGTAGGGGAAACCGGAGGAAGCCTACACAAACACTAGGAGAACATGCAAACTCCACTCGGAAAGGACAAGACAACAGCCTACAATTTGACAACATCCTCATATCTGTGTCCTCTTTGCTCATCGGACCGTGAACCTTAGCTAAATTAAACATATTTTCTCGATCTTCTTGCCCTTTGACAAATACGTGAACCATAACCACGGATGCCTTTTAGTATTATATTTGTTTCCACATCTGGATCTGAAGATAATTTTGTGCTCCAGTCCTGCGGCTCTCATTATCTCCTATAGTTACATAATCCAAAATCTGGGATTGCACCACGGTTTGGAGTCCAGTGCATAGATTTTTCAGAGCAGAGCTTATCTTGTTCTGAGCTTATTTCCATGTGAGGTCTGACCGTCTCCCTCTCACACAACCTTAGGACAACACAGTACTTGGGAGTGGGGAGGAAAAAAGCAATAAAACGATCCTTAAATTTTAACCCGATACTAAACAGATGTATCCAGCATCATCCCATCACTGAGCAAAAAGAAAAACATGACCACAGATACTTGAATACTCGGGCTGGGAAGTTGTATGATGTGTAATCTTTTTTCTCACAGTATTATCTTGCAGAGACTACAATTTCTTAGTTTTGATAATTGTATTCAGTATACATTATTGTTTACCCCTGGAGCTAGCCTGGCCTTAGCCATCCGTACACTCCGCTCAAACATAATTTCCTGCATGTAACGTCTGGGTCTGGTCCCTGTGTTTGCGATTACAATCGGTTAAATTCCATCCGACCAATCAGCGAGCGCGGGAGGCGGGTGTTAATGTTAGTTGTCGGTGATGTCAAGAGTTTGCATCGAACGGGCAGGTTGTAGTTTGCCGAAGAATGCGATAGTAAAGTAATCCGGTCTGGTTCTATCAAGAAATTGAAGCCGGAGCAAGAAGAATGTTTAGCAAAAGTCATTGCTGGCAAAGATTGTGGCACTACTCCCCACGGGCTTCGTTAGCGGTAAAGGAGATGGCTAGGCTAAATGCAAAATGCTAACGACTCACTCACTTACATTCGTAAACTCAGATCCAATCGTTTCAATCTGCAAAAGGAGTTAAACCCTCCCACCTGTTAACAGAGCTCAATGGAGCACCTCCAGACCTTAGTACGAAATATAATTTGTACTATGGTTTGGTACGACCAGGCTACCCCTGGAGCCCCTGCTGGCATAATTCCTCTGAGGTCTGTGGGCTCCATCACACACTGGACTTGGACTGGGATTCAGTTTGTGAGCTGAACACAAACTGAAGCGATGATTAAAAAGAAGACAGTTGTGTGACCATCTACGACTTGAAGGACACATGTTGGCTGTGTACACTTGTCCCTATCAAACAAACAAATAAATATATATACATACATAAATACAATACCTTTATTCCACATGAGCCCCCACAGCTGCTAATGTAACTTTACCGTTATCTGGTGCACAATGAGGGAGGAGAGGCCTTTGTTTTGATTGAGTGAAGCGTGTGTAGGTGCAGATGCTGTGTGGGCATATTTGTGCGTTATTATCACACACAAGTGCTGATCACTCATGCGCTTGAAAGTAACAAACCATCTGATATGATCGCTGATGTTACCTAATTATTACACATAAAAACACGCAGAGTAACATCAGTCCATCTAAACTCTAACCTTGAATGCAATCTACACTTAAATTCAAGTCCAGAGAAAAGAGAAACCCAGAATCTTCAACCTTGTTAGCTCCAGCCATTCCTCCATGAAGCCTCGTTTATATAAGCCTTTTTTAATGAATGCAAAATGTATGAATATGTAAAAATAAAATATTATGTAGCATATACGTTACCCAATAGCTAATAAGAACTAGTAGCTGGATATATAAGTAATGTAGTAATGTACTTTAGTTTGTTATCTCAAAATGCTAACTAGGAAAAGAGATAGATTTAGGCTAGTATCAGAAAACTCTGGAACGACTCTGGGAGAGAGGAGGCAGAAACTGTATATACCGTTGGTTTGCACCATGTATTAGACAATTATATACAGTGACAGTGAATAACAATATAGACAGTGAAAAACATTGAATGGCCATTCATAATGATGCAATACTCGAGCAAAGATATATTTACAATACAAAAATAAACAACGTTCTAGTGGACTCAGAAGTTCAAGTACTCTCAGGTAATCAAGGAACTCTGGTGTTCAAGTACTCTTAGGTATTCAAGGAACTGGTGTGCAAATACGCGACTTTAAGTTCTGTAAAGTGCGAGTGCATCCAAGTCCAAGTTCAACACAAGTAATCCCGGAGTTGGGATTCTCCAACACTGAGTGGGATCGATGGGTTTCGGAAGGAATGGGTAGTGTCCAAGGAGTAGTGTTGAGATATGACTCAGTTGTAAGGATCCCAATAAAGTGCTGTGTGCAAGAGTTCAATTATAGGCTGCGGAAGCCTCCTACCAGCCCAGGACCAGTGGTGGAGGAGGAACTCCTTCAGGGTCCAAAATCAGAGAGGTTCAGTTCCAGTGGACTCTAGCTCGCCATCACATGCCAAGTACCTCGCAAGTACTGATACTTCCGGCATAGCGGACTATATCGAACACTGATTGGGTAAACGTCTCGAACGCAATGACGTCACACTCAAAGATAAAAACCAACTCAAGATAACAGTTTGTCAAATTGACACCTGCGTTACACCGGCATTAAGCTCTACAAGTACGGCAGTCCAGTATTAGCCCTTAATTAACTAAAAAGACCAGGAATTTGGAAAGGTATTGCAAGGTATGTTTGGTGATTGGTTGATTGGATTTGATTTGATTTGCCACCTATTTTTATTTTAATATTTAATCTCTTATTTGTTGTTATTAATCAAAGAAGAACGCATAACCGGGGTACAAAAGAGGTGCATTAGGTACAGAATGACGGACAAAAGTAAAATTCCAGTCAATTATAGCTCCTTGACTTGAGGTATGTATCCCTTTTTTCCCAGAGTGCGTAACTTTTCTCTTTTTCCTCAGAATAAAAGTTAAACGCTCAATGCTTTGTAAGTTTTTTTACAAAGTTTCAACCAATGGTTAATTTTTGGCGGATCTATATTCTACCAACGTTTAGTAATAGTAGGGCTGGGCGATTTGGCTGAAAACTATATCACAATATAAGTTATTCATATCAGTCGATATGGATAACTATTGATTTAAAAAAAAAAATCTGCCTACATCCCTCTGCCTACATCCCCCAGAATGCCGCGCGCTTCTGACTCTGCTTTACTTCCTGTGTTTTCCTCCTGTTTTTTCTAACGGAGTGAAGTTAAACTATCCAACATATATCAATCACGTGTCTATTGCGATATATATAATTATCGTTTTATCGCCCAGCCCTAAGTAATAGCCTTTTTACTTGCAGCCATTAAGACTTTTAGGGCCACAAGACTCAAAACACTGCAAAAAGTGATAAAATATAAGTCAAAAAAATTCTCAAATTTGTAACAGTTCTTGACATAAGACTAAACGGCTTTGTCCTATATTCAGAATGTCCTCAAATTAAAATAAAAACCACTATATTCAGGCACTTATAACCTCATATTTTACCATTTCTTGCAGTGTATTGACCAAAAACATGATTCTAAACTTGTGAAATCCTTGAAGTATCTGTTCTGTTTCGGTTTTCTCCTGTACATTCAGGGTGTGTGTTATGTCAGACCTGTCCAGCCAAGAATCCACACACTCCAATGATGCAGAGGATGTTGAAGACAGCGGACCCAACGATGGTTCCCACTCCCACGTCTCCTTTGGTGATGAAAACGCCTGAGGACGCAGTGGAGAAGGAAAGTGAGCCAGGAAGGAGGGAAGTGAGTAAATAATGCATTTTGTTTGTTCCAACTGAGAGAGTTTTGGAAAAGTAACACATTATGACAAATCAGACCACAGCCAGCTGCCCTTTTAGAAAATATATGTATTTTTTGTTGTTGATTTGGACACAACAGTCTCATGGGACAGACCAGATTCACTGCCTTTAGCAAGATCAAGCTAATTTTCAACACTTGTCAATAGATGGCTTTTGGGACTTTTTAGGACCATATGAACCAACTCGGACTCTGAGGAGCACAGGGACTGGACTCCTGCTGGTGCCCAGAGTCAGGACTAAACATGGGGAGGCAGCATTTTTCAGATTCATGCTGTTATTACTAGATTATTACTTATCTATCTGATATTTCTGCCATTCACCAGTCACTTTACTGCTGATATTGTTGCTATTGAGTATTCTGCTCATATTCTCCGCTGCTAAAATACAATATACACATCTGTAAATACTTCTGAAGCAAGTGAAATTAAAGCTTCATAGCTCCAGAGTTTTTTATTTTTTATTTTACCATCTTAATATCTCATTGTAATTCTACTGCCTATTATCTTAAATATTAGACTCTGTTTGAGGTGTGCAATCTAAGTGCTCTTATTTCCTCCTTTTTCTGCTGTGACGTGCGCAACGATGACACTGACATTTCCCCACTGTGGGACAAATAAAGGAATATCTGGAACAATCTTCCTGAAAATTTGAGACAGGCTTCTTCTCCGTCAATGTCCAGGTTAAAAACACTTCTGTTTAGCTGTGCATGCAACTGAGGGATTTTTATCTTTCTTTTTAATGTACTGTGATTATTAAATGAAGATTATTTTAATGCCTTTTATTGTGTCTATCTTTTTCCTTGTGTATGAATTGTTAAAGATATATAGATGTGTATAAATAGTTACTCAAATGTACAAATCAATAAAAATGTAAACAATTCCATGTCTGAAACGCATTAGCAACGGTCTGGGGAAGGCACAACCATAACTGGGAAAACAGTTCATTTTTTCTTTTTTAACATTAAATTAATATTGGCAGAAAAAAGTCAACACCCTACAGTTTAATCTAATGCACCTCAATTATCAAATCTTTATGATAACATTGTTTTGATCATGGCATGTCCTAAACCTATAACATGTACAGTACGTTTCTGAAGTAACAGCTGCAAACATGAAACCAAAAGTTTCTGCCCTGGATTCTCATTACGTAACTGCAGCTACAGCAAATATAAGTGAAATATTTGATCTTGTAAAACCCCGAAGTATGTAGCAAAGGGTTGAAAATGATCAAAGAGAAAGCGAGGGCGGGCTGCATGTGACGTTTTAATGTAATTCTAATGTAATTCATGTTGAAAGTCACACATGTTTAGTGTGAGGCCTGTGGGACGCGGGATTTAAAGGTTGCATTAACAAACCACTCTCTTCAAAACACACGCAACATGAAAGAGACCAATTGATATTACCTAAATAAATGATCTCCCTGCTTCTTGCTGCTGTTAAATTATAGCTGCAAATGATCCTGTACCAGTTCAGAGTAATCCTATTTGCCTCATAGGAAAATAATGTGTCTGCATATGTGCTACATGTATTTTCAGGGCACATGGCTATACACATGGTAGCGTGAAGAACGTTTTATTTAAGAATTTAAACTGACAATTAAGATAGAAATGTAATGTATTTGTCTATTATCTAACCAGAAGAGTCCTACTTTCATTCCGGACCCAGGAAGTTGTCATGGTGTAGACTGGTTTGATGATGGTACATACTAATCTAGTGTATTGTTTGGAGATAGATAACTTTATTTGCAGACTCAAGGTCCAGATAAACACAGACACAGACAAAAAACACAAAATAAAATAAACAACAGACAATAAAAACCTCTAAACTTTAAAGAGGCAGTCACGCCAATGTTTCCAAAGCAGCGACGTGTAATCACAGCATTTTTCGAATTGTTTAAGCGACAGATAAACTTAAACATCAAATTTCTCAAGACTCGATTTACTCGATTTGACACAAAGAGTTCACTGGCTCTTGTCCATCTGGGCTTTTTTAATAGAATTCAACAGTAAATCTCCAGGGTTTTGCTTCCTGTCCAGTTCCCTGATTGTCTGCCTCATGTGGTGTCTCTATTTAGACTGTTCTCAAAGATGGATTAAAAGATACTTTATTAAATCCTTGAAGGAGATTCATGCAAACATAAATAAATACATAATTGAGTGGGTTTTTTTTAGTTTTTTTTTTTTTTTTACCTTGGATTTTCATTATATTATTAGTACGTATTATGTTGAATTCCTGCATTTTGGGTCCTTCCTTAGTTTTCACCTTGTGACCGAAGTAACCTCACTTAATAACAAAGTATTCTCAACAGGAAACACAGGAAAACTTGCAAATTCTCAACAACAAAACCCAATACAATCTGGAGTCTAGCCCCGAGAAGGTTCTGGTTTTAAGGTGGAACAGTTTGTTTGTTTGTTTTTATACAGATCCCCATGAGCGACTGAAACATACAGTAGCTATTCTTCTGGGGGTCTGTAGTTTTGCTAAAGTAAACGTATTGTGTGTAGCAGTCAGTCATGTTCAGGTATTAAGCTAAAACATTGTGACAGGAGAGTATAGTCTGTATTCAGTCCTGCATGGATCTGCACTCTGCATGGCCACATCAAAGACCCTCCAGTGTGCGCTCAGACTGCAGATGAAGTTAGCGATCAGAGGATGTTTTTTGAGCCAGAACGTTTGAGCAATGTTCCAGAATCCCCCGCAGAAAAGAAGTGGATACGTGGCTTTCAAAGACTGTCGTTCAAATGAGATGACTTTACCTCACGGCTTTTCTTTGAGTAAATCATAGAAAATAGAAGGACAAATGTTTGTTGCAGGTCTTATCTCACATATATGCGGCTGTAAGGTACATCTCAACAATCAAATATTGACTTTAAATGGGTAAATACTTTTTAATGAGGAAGACCTTTCTAAAGTTGATTCTCGAGATGTACTGGCATTTTCCAGAGGATTCTAGAGATGTCTAAGAAAAGCACAGTAAAAAATGAATGAACTAAAATGTCATAATGTCATTTAAACATACAGTATTGTTGTGGATATTATATAAAGCACACAAGAAAACATAGATTGTCAGTAATTGCATATATTGATGTTTATATGAATGATAATGTAATGTGGTAGATTCTTCCTTTCTGATTTGTGCTCAAAGTGATGTAAGTGAGGCCAGGGCTTGTGTAAAGTCCATTTCTGTACATGGACCAACACGTTATTAAGTGTAATGCTAGCTGCACCTGGAGATAACCTGTTTTTGAAGCATTTCTCAGAGGCAGATGAGGAGGTCCCCCTTGGATCGTAAGACCATAGACTAACCCTGTCTAGTGGCCCCTACATCAACCCAGTGACCCCCTAAAAATACGGAACCATGGATGCCGACACCTCCTCCTTTGCACATTTGATAGTTTTTGATGAACAGAATCTTAGTCTGAGAGCTTTAGTCTGAGTCTACCTCTAAGATCAGGCCTGGAGCGAAAGCCACTGGATCAGCGAGAAGTTTGAACTTTTGGATTAAAAAAATATATATTATCATTTAAGGACAATAAAAATCAAGTTAGACAAACAGCACAAATATAAGCATAACAAAAAAGCAGACAAAACAAAGGATTTTTCACATTTATACAAAAATTAAAATGTCAGAATGTATTTCCAATGATAAGGCATCAAGAATTTTATCCCACCTTTTTTTGTGCTTAAATTTTTCTGTTTCAACTGAGCAACATAATCAATAACGCCTGTAGTATTAAAAGATCTTTCGTTACAGACTTAAATATGAAATGTTTCCCTATGAGAAAAAATAACTCATGGATTACTCGGTTCATCCTTTCTGGTCACATTCTGAATCCTGCTACACAGGATCTGGGATTTGCGGTTTTCGGTAAAGAGAACGTTTTGTGTTTGAGCAGAAAGTGGATTCTCTTATACCTATGACTGACGTGAAGAGCTCGGGCGCAGAACTGCCGGCGGCCATGAAGGTTGCCCCGGCGACGTCTTCACTCAGATCCAGACGCTGCGTGACACATAACACAACATGACAGATGACATAATGGAACATACATTGCGAAACTTGTGCAGCAACTAGAAACATAAATAACACTGGATTATTGACGTTTTGTAATCTTCCTTTTGACGTTCAGAGCCCTACTTTAACGCTAAGGACAATTATGATTTTGTTAATTTTTTGTGAACAAATCAGACCATGGCATGCTACCTTTCTCTTATCAGAAAATATGTTATCTTTCATACTGAGAGCTGATTGGCTAGAACTCTCTGTATCACTGAAAAAGCTGAGGCCAAAAATACATGCATGTGAAACTCGTAAGTAAGTAATTTTTATTTATATAGCGCTTTCCACAGACCAGAGTCCACATTACGCTTTATAATTCTGGTCCTCTCAAATAGGGAAACCGGAGCACCTGGAGGAAACCTGAACAGACACAAGGAGAACATGCCGCAAGATGGCGCCGCTGTGTTTGGCCTGTCACTTGCTACTCTGTCTTCTGCTGTTTGTTTTAGCTGTCGTTTCGCCAGCTATAGTTTATGATCGTGCTACGCTGCTGGAATTGCGTTTTGCATCAAAAAGCCTCCTCAATGCCCAGTCTTTCAAACCACCACTGCCACTGTTTGCATCAATTCCTCCGTTTCTGAGATGCCCTGCCTGTCTGCTACCAGGCAGTAAGCGCTGCAGAAGACGCGGCCGGAGGGGCGGGTTACATGTCAGGCTGAGGACTCACTTGGATTCTCCGTCGCCGAGAAGTGGAGATCTATCGGACCTTCGCAGCGCTAGAGGATCGCGGGATTGTTACCGGTGGCTTAGGCTGGTTAGCCCCGACACCGGCCCTCCGTGTCCGTGTCCCCACCGCGTAAAAACAACATCCACTAGGAGCTGCGTCCAAGGAAACCTCCGTCCAATTCCTCGCGTGACATCGCCGCCTGCCAACCCGACCACGTTCCGCATGGCACTTTGTAACACCAGATCGCTCAATAACAAAACATTTATCCTCAATAATGTCATCTCCTCTCACAATCTGGATTTGCTGTTTCTCACTGAAACCTGGCTCCCCCCAGGTGACGTCAGTGCCTTTTCGGAACTCCTCCCCTCTGGCTATATCTACCTCAACACCCCACGGCAAACGGGTAGGGGCGGGGGGATAGCCACCACATACAGACAGTCATTGAAGTGCCGCCAGCTGTCCACCAAAGTGTACTCCAGCTTTGAGGTTCAAGCATTTGTGCTCTCACTGCCCTGTCCTATTTTATGTGCAATAATCTACCGACCACCTAAATTAAACAAGGACTTCTTAAATGATTTTTCAGAGTTTCTGTCAGAGTTTCTGCCAAAGTTTGACAACATCCTAATCTGTGGTGACTTTAACATCCATGTTTGTTGCCCCTTTGATAAATCTGCTAATGATTTCAAAGCACTCTTAGATTCACTAGATCTGACCCAGTCCATATCCTGCCCAACTCATAGGTTAGGTCACACTCTTGATCTCATCATCTCGCGTGGGGTGACAGTGTCAACTTGTGAGGTCCTGGATTTTCCCGTATCTGACCACTCTCTCATACGGTTTGACATCCGTGCTGTTCCACCTACACCCACATCCACAGCCCCCCAACGTCGGCGCATCATTACCTCATCAACAGTTAATGACTTTACTGCTGCCTTTTCTGTCTCTGATCTCCGCTCTGCTGCTGGTTTGGCCTCGCCTCCATGTCCTGACCTTTTCCTCTCCTCCTTTCACACCATTTGCTCCCAGATTATGGACTCTGTTGTGCCCTACAAGGTAATGGGTACCAAAGGCCCATCAGACCCCTGGCTCAATGATACCACTCGGGCCCTAAGGTGTCGGTGTAGACAGGCAGAGCGCAAATGGAAGAAGGATAGGTTGCAGGTGTCACTGGAGATGTTTAGAGACAGTCTTGCCACCTATCAGACGGCAGTGAAGGAAGCTAAATGTCAATACCTTTCCAATCTCATCAATAGAAATAGCCATCGCCCTGGAATCCTGTTCAGCACTATTAACTCTGTGATAAATCCGGTATCTGTTGGTTTGACTGATGTATCTGAGAACACATGTAATACATTCAAACAGTACTTTTTGGACAAGGTTTTGTCTGTTAGACAATCCATCACACAAGCCCCTGCTGCCATCATGCCCTCCCAAGCGGCGCAATGTGTTCTGGTGAACTTTGAGACAGTTACCCTTGTGGACCTCAAAAAAGCTGTCCATGAGTTGAAGGCTACCACCTGCCCTCTAGACGCTGCTCCTACCAGGATTATGAAGGAGGCTATTGACATCGTGGGTCCCTGCCTTCTCTCCTTTATAAACAGTTGTCTTAGTTTGGGCACTGTTCCCACTGCTCTCAAACATGCCATTGTCAGACCGCTGCTCAAGAAACCCAACCTTGATCCCTCCACACTGTCCAACTTCCGCCCTATATCTCATCTGCCGTTCCTGTCTAAGCTGTTGGAGAAGCTTGTTGTCTCCCAGCTTCAATCTCATCTACAACTGCATGCAATAGCTGATAAGTTCCAGTCCGGTTTCAGGTCTAGGCATAGCACCGAATCAGCGTTACTGAGGGTCCATAATGACATCCTGGGAGCCCTGGACAGTAAAAGCTCTGTGGTTTTGGTGTTACTGGACCTGAGCGCTGCATTTGACACAGTGGATCATGCCATCCTCATCTCCCGACTTCAACACACTGTCGGTCTGCAGGGCATGGTTCTCAAATGGTTTTCATCATATCTCACAAACAGAACTTTTGCAGTAACGCTCAATGACTTTTCCTCCTCAGCTGCTCCTCTGTCATCTGGTGTGCCTCAAGGATCCATTCTTGGTCCTATTCTGTTTTCACTCTATATGCTGCCACTTGGTCAACTTATCTCTAATCACAACGTCCACTTTCATTTCTATGCAGACGACCTCCAGATCTACCTTCCTGTGGTTCTGAGCAACAGTTCTGCTTTGGACCCTCTCTATAACTGTCTTCACGTCATCAAACAATGGCTCGCCCAGAATTTCCTTCACCTGAATGAAGGAAAGACTGAGTACATCCTGTTCACCCCGGACTCACCTCACAGCTCCCCCAGTTTTGTTCCTCCTACACCTCAGTTTGCTCCCGCCATCCGCAACCTGGGTGTTATTTTTGACAGTACTATGATTTTTGATAAACAGATAGGTGCAGTTGTGAAAGCGAGCTTTTACCAGCTAAGGCTCCTCAGCAAGATCAAGTCTCTCTTGTCCCGAGCTGACCTTGAAAAGGCCATTCATGCCTTCATCAGCTCGAGGATAGACTACTGTAACGCCCTCTACACTGGACTTAACCAATCACTCCTCAATCGGCTTCAACTGGTACAAAACGCAGCAGCTCGTCTCCTCTCCAACACCTCCAGACGCTCACACATCACCCCAGTCCTCCGCTCTCTCCACTGGCTCCCGGTGGCATTTAGGGTGGAGTTTAAGGTCCTGATGTTTGTGTTCAAGGCTATCAATGGTCTGGCCCCGGCCTACCTCGCCGAACTAGTAACGGTCTACAAACCAGCCAGAGCTCTGCGCTCCTCTGAACACACCTCCCTCGTCACTCCCAAATTCAAATACAAAAAGTTTGGAGGCCGTTCATTTGCTGCCCAAGGCCCAAAGCTGTGGAACGCACTTCCTGTACAGCTTCGAAACATCACTGAGTTGAGTGTTTTTAAATCACAGTTGAAGACACATCTTTTCAGGAAAGCATTCAATGCATAATCACTGACTCGACTGCTGTTTTTTTTTATGTGTTTGTTTTTATCGGTGTCTATTGTGATTCTTGTTTTTATCCTGGAAAGCGCCCTGGGCACCTTCTGGCTGTTGTTGGGCGCTATACAAATAAAAATTTGATTGATTGATTTGATGCAAACTCTACACAGACAGGCTTGGAGATGGTGTCAAACCCAGGTCCTAATGACACTCTAATGATAAGGTTGTAATTTTTATACAACGATAATTTTCTGTGGCTTCAAAGTTAGGTACTCCATCTTTAACTAATCATTCACAACAGCTGGTTTTCTCATGATTCCAAAGAATCATATTTTTGAGAAATGGGAAAAGGCTAAAGTTTATCAAGCGTTTCATGTCAGTCATGACTTCTTACTATTTCAGTTCTTCAAACATTTTCTACATCACATGGCGTTTGTGGCACCATGCTGCTAATAGCCTTGCTGCCAGTTTGCTATTTCACAAGCTCCAGCCCTTCTGTCTCCTAATCCAAGTGCTCACTGTATTAAAGGTACAGAAAAAAGGAGAATTTTACAGAATTTTGGGAAAGAACAGCCCACTCCAAAGGGAACGCTTACTAAAACGTATGACCGCCTCAAGAATGATCGACAGTTAGGAGGCTTAATCGTCTTGATGATCACCCAGGAAGAAGAAAATCCTCTTATATACCTTTAAGTAAGTTTTATCCACACATATCTAATCATTTTATTTTGATTTAAAGCTGGGGTACTTAACTTTTGAACCACAAGTTATTGAGTTATGCAATACAATCCAACTAACTAAGTTCTTTGCGCTCCAAACTAACTTGCTCTTTGGTTGTATCACTAGTTCTCACATGTCTGTATGTTCGGCCACTGTCATCAAGTGAAAAAAAGGACCACTTTCACTAAAGTCAATCAGCTCTCAGCCCGAAGAGTCAAATAGTGACTCACAGGGCTCTTTCTCACACGTATGCCCAAGATTATTCACAAGACAGCATGTGACCACCGCAGCTTTAAACTATCTTTGTAATCTTTATTGTAATCTTTATTTATATACCGCCTTTTCACTGCACATCGGAGTCTCAAAGCGGTTTACAATTGTTATTTTTTTTGGGAGTGGAGGTGCCAGAACAGGAGGCACATGCCAGACCTATTGTACATATTTTTAGTGGTAGGGGAAACCGGAGTACCCGGAGGAAACCTACGCAGACGCGGGGAGAACATGCAAACTCCACTCAGAAAGGCCCTGGTCCAACCGGGATTCGAACCCAGGACCTTCTTGCTGAGAGGCGAGAGTGCTATCCACTCAGCCACCGTGCCGCCCTATCAGTCATAATAAGACCTTGCACTTGTAATTATTGCACGCCCCACTTTTCAGTTTTTTATTTGTTAAAAATGTTTAAATTATCCAACAAATTTCATTCCACTTCACGATTGTGTCCCACTTGTTGTTGATTCATGACAAAACATTTTTTTTTTTTTATATCTTTATGTTTGAAGCCTGAAATATGGCGAAATGTTGAAAGGTTCAAGGGGGCCGAATACTTTCGCAAGGCACTGTATACAAGCATAAATATTCAATCAAGCAACAGTATTTGCCCTAGTCTCACCATGTGTTATCAATATGTATCTACAAATGCATTTCTATATACAAATTTTCAACTTGAAGTGCAATAACTTTTCATTATAATAAAAAGGTCTCAAAATACGTTTTTTTTCTCCCTGTCCAAATGGGAATCCTGTACCGTTTTTCGTTAATTTCTCCTATAGACATAATTAAGTGGTGTAAAGGGAAGTAAAACCTTTGTTCTAGCCCCTGAGGTTTTATTTCTCTGTCTGTCTGTCTGTGAGAACCAGAGAAGAAGGCGGGACTGAGGTTTCCAACCACAACCACCACAAGAATCCAACCACAGATAACGGCTGAAGTCCTGGGAGTCTAAAATATCACAGTTCAAGCCTCCAGATCACATAGACGTCTGTATTTCTGCTCTTACCTCACAGATCTTCTCCATGGACGGGACAAAGTAGTCGTCACAGACCAAAGCCAGAGCGCAGAACATGTAGATGGTCTGCAAAGAGATGTATCATTAATTTAAATGTTAAATTATGGATTTGTGATTAAAATATGTGGTGGAGCTGGGCTGAAGGGTTTATCCAAGGGCACTCTGTTTAAAGAAGACATAGCATCTGTCTAAAGTACAGTGGTGTTATTGTTCTATGGCAGCGGTTCTCAATTGGTGAGTCAGGCCCCAAAAGTCACAGCCAGACTGTTTACAAATGGACAATGCTAACCCGCTAGCTCGATGAAGCCAGGAAAGTACTCATGGATGAAGATCAATTCACTTCAATGTATTCTTGCATAGCACTAAATCACAACAGTAGTTATCTCAGAGGAAACAGTTCAAAGCTAACCCTGTCAGAACATATACTTATAGAAAATGCCCATGTACGGGAAATTAGCGAGTTTATGTTGAAATTGGCTTCTTCCACATTCAGAAAGCGCTATGGGTGATGTTAACGCTCAGTTAGTCCATTCCTAATACATGGTCTATGGTCGCGAAATCATTTTTAGAGAGTTGCAAGCTTTTCCTGGGAAAAATTAAATTATGTATCTACAACATTGCAAAAAAATATTCAAAAAAATATATATTACAAAAAAATAAATAAACAGAAATTGTAAGGGGTTCAGGTTACGGTGGAACAGACAACAGGTGGAGAGATAGAGGACTGCAAAAATAAACAACAAAAATAAATAAAAGAAAGAGAGATTTGGAGAAATATTTGTGGGAAGCCAGACGATTCTCCTCATGTTAATTTGAGCTAAAACATTGTTATAAAATATAATAGTCTGTATCTTGCATGGATCTGTACTCTGCCCCTGTATGCAATGTCAGTGGAAACATGGCCACATCAAAAGGTTACGCTCAGACTCTGTAGAGGAAGTTAGCGATTAAGTTTGTTAAATAGTTTACGAACCAAACCGGTTGAGCAATGTTCCAGAATCATCCGCAGAAAATAAGATTGACATATAAGAAAAAAAAAACAAGAAAATAAACGCAGTGGATTTGTGGATGGATCAAAGACTGTCATTCAAATGAAAAGAGTTTACAGTACCTCGCGGCTTTTCTTTCCTAATTGAATTCATCGTAGAAAATGTGATTGAATGTTTTCTTGTATATGCGGCTGTAAGGTGCATTTCCGACATCAAAGATTAACTTGAACGCAACTTTATAAAGAGGAAGACCTTTCTAAAGTTCATTCTTGAAATAAACTGGCATTTTCCAAAGGCAGAGAGATGTTTGTGAAAAGCAGAGTGAAAAAAAACTTTGTGGGACAGAATGAAAATGTGAAGTTAGATGTACTCCTCAGTCCATTAAAAAGCCTTAGTAATTGAATACTTATAAACTTGTGGCTAACTGTTGTTGTGTCCTTAGGCAAGACACTTCACCCACATTGCCTAGAATGGGTCTGGTGTGTGTATGAATGGTTGGTGGTGGTGGGAGGGGTCGATGGCACAGACTGGTTGCCTCGTTTCTGTCAGCGTGCCCCAGGGCAGCGGTGGCTACAGTAGAACTTTATCACCACCGTGTATGGAGTAAAAGAATAAGGACATGTGAAGCGTCTAAAAGTGTCCAAAAATTATTATTATTTTCTTGTTTTGTTCAGTTGCCTTGTGTATGAATTGTGCTATAAAAAAAAACTTGCCTTGCCCACTCATCCCACAGTGGAGGGATTTATACTAAATCCGGCCATGGCTTAATTATGGAGGACCAAAAATGACTAAAGTATAAATAAATAAATACAGGAATATATAAATACATTCATTTTGGACAATAAAAACTAAATATTTACATTGATATGTTAAATATTACTCTGAAATCAAATAAATAAACTTTTATTTAGGTTATTTATCAATATCTACATTTTTTCCTTTATTTATTTATCAATTTATTGCATATATTTATTTATGTATTTCTACATTTCTTCATTTATTTATTTATGTATTTCTACATTTCTTCATTTATTTATTTGTGTATTTCTACATTTCTTCATTTATTTATTTATGTATTTTTGTGTTCCTGTATGCTAATTAGGTGGGCGGTGCTGAACTCAATCTAAAACAGGATTGGTTAGGATTGCGTGAACTCTGGTCTCGATCATTACTGCCTCACATTACGGTACTCTGTTAGCTAGCTAGAGATCCTCTGTGCACTTTTGTGTGGTATGATGGCAGTTTCGAATGTAAGTTTTTTAGGAGCCATTGCTCATCAATTAAGAGCATTAGCAAATGATGTTAATGATGTTGAGCATAATGCACCTGAGGACTATCTACTCTTTCGGCTGGAAAGACTATTAGATGTTTTAGTTCATCACATTGCTGACCCAGAGGTAGACTTTGATGCAACTGTGCTGGACGCTCTTCAACAAGCAGCAGCTTCACATCCTCTCACAAACCGAGAAGGCTAACTTTGGCCGTAAATCTTATTTTTTACCTCCATGTATGTTTGAACATGCAATTCACATGCAATACATTCACGCAATCCTAACCAATCCTGTTCTAGATTGAGTTCAGCACCGCCCACCTAATTAGCAAATGAAGAAATGTAGAAATACACAAATAAATAAATGAAGAAATGTAGCGACACAGAAATACATAAATAAATAAATGAAGAAATGTAGAAATACACAAATAAATAAATGAAGAAATGTAGCGACACAGAAATACATAAATAAATAAATGAAGAAATGTAGAAATACATAAATAAATGAAGAAATGTAGAAATACATAAATAAATAAATGTAGAAATACATAAATGAAGAAATGTAGAAATACATAAATGAAGAAATGTAGAAATACATAAATAAATATATGCAATAAATGGATAAATAAATAAAGGAAAAAATGTAGATATTGATAAATAACCTAAATAAAAGTATATTTATTTGATTTCAGAGTAATATTTAACATATCAATGTAAATGTTTAGTTTTTATTGTCCAAAATGAATGTATTTATTAATATATTCCTGTATTTATTTATACTTTAGTCATTTTTGGTCCTCCATACTTAATGAGCTATCATGCTAACAGACACACAAACCCTGGTGAAAACATTGCACCTAATGAAGTGATATCTAAAAAGTACCATTATCAACAAGATGATCAGGAGGAAGGTTATTACAAAAAGATATACAATTATAAAAATATTAACTACGATAAACTACTAGAACTCCTAGAGCCGGCTCCCTTTCAAACCAAAGAAATCCGGAAAAATTACTCCCAAAAATGTTTTACGTTTTTCACCAGATTTATTTGAAAGTAAGTAATTTATGAGTTTTTTTTTTAACTTAACTCACTTGGAATAAATGCTAAAACTGGTGAATATAACTTAAAATATAGTAAAAACAGTTTGTTGAAAGGCTAATGCTAAAGAACAAATGCTAACTGCTGTAAGTAAACCGTGTGTTGCTATGGTAACCAGCACTCGTTTGACATAGTAAACAAACTACATGTATAAAAAGTAATTACACATCCCAAACTAAAATCTGTCAAATAACTTTGTGTGTAAGTAAACGTATAATCATATGTTCTGGGTTAGTGCTAGTGCTAACCGTGTCTCCATGTCCTGCTCTCTTTGCTTATGAAACGTTAGATGGCAAAGGTTTGGAGGATAATCCGCTGCAGTGGTGTTCCTATGGGACGATAAAAGGCAGCGCTGCTATAATCCAGTGTATGTAACATCTGTGAAGCCGGAGCTGCATGTCCCTAAAGCAGCTGACACACTTCGACATATGTGCACTAATGTGTTAGAAAAGAGCATTATCGCACTGTGTACACGCTATGCCGGGTTGGATCCCTATTGTACCACACAAAGCTTCTCTATCTAAATACGACAACTTCAACAACTGCTGCATATGAAATCGCTTTAAATCATAGAAAGCCACTTTATTATTGAAGAAGCCATAATGTTATTCTGCCCGCTATAATCTGAGCAAACCTTGAACCTTGATTATTTTACGTTTACTTTGACATCAAGGACGGTGAAGGAGAAGGGTCAGTGCTATTCTTTTCAATTCAATTACGTTTATTTTTGTGTAGCCTTAAATCATAAAAGAAGTCATCTTACAAACTAGGTTATTTAACTGTAGTAGTCCAACTTATTTTTAGATTACCACTATTATTTGGCACACACAAAAATACCATAAAAATAGGCTATATTTTTGTTAATCCGGACGTAATTTAAGCAAAGAGCAATCATGAGAATAACAGATTCAGAGTCATTCATTTTAGTTTTACGCCACAGAAAAACAAAAACGCTGATAAACGTTGTTGCAGTGAGTTGTGCAAGGGATAGATTACATTGATATAAATGTTTTGGTATAATTTAAAATATAAGCTTGTCTTTCATTTTCTTTTCCAAATAATACTTTCTAAGTACATGCACAAAGGTAGAGATTTTTTAGACTTCTTTGACGCTAAAGTCAGAGAGTCAGAGAGTGAATTCTTGCTTCTTCATTATGCTAAAGTTAGAGATTATAGATTGCTTTATTATTATGCTAAAGCTCCAGATTTTTTGTTGTTTTTATTTTAATTACTTTTAACCCTGAAACTTCCCCACAGTGAAACAAATAAAAGCATCTCTGAATCTTGCTTCTTTTTCCACTATGGCGTCACACTGAGCATCATGAATCAGACGCGAACGTGATTATTGATGAGGTTGGAACGGCGCTCTCAAAGGTCATCGTGTGCGCGGACATTATGCTAAACCCTGCACCATCGTCACGACACTGGAGGGAATATTCAGAACTCAGACAAGGACAAGTGAATTACAGCGAGAGGCGATCCATGGAGGGGCAGCAAGGGCAGGTATGATTAGATTCTGGAGCGTTTAGCTTGAACTATGGAGACATTCTCTATTCTTGAACAAAAATGTGTCTATTTTTTTATGACCTACACTCAAAATAAGTCTGAAAGGGTAGAACGTGGAGGGAGAAAAACGGTGCGAGGACACAACAAGAACAGTTGGTCTTGTATAAGGTCGAAGGCTATTTTGGTTTTGTTTTAGATTGTTTGGCTGGGGCACAATCAGTACAATGGTTTGAAACATTTTATAGTTAAGTTATTATTTTGTGATTTCTGTTTCTCTGCATTTTGAGCTCTGTAAGATTCAGTCAGATTGTACAGTAATAATAACAATAATTCATCGGTTTTATATAGCGCTTTTCAGGACACTCAAAGACACTTCACATGTCATTATTCTTTCACTCCATACACAGTGGTGAACAACTACAACTGAAGCCACGGCTGCCCTTGGACACACTGAATGATTGCAACCAGAATGTGCAATCGACTGCCACCAACCATTCACACACGCACCAGACTCACTCTAGGCAATGTGGGTGAAGTGTCTTGCCTGAGGACACAACAACAGTTTTGCACTAAACAGCCATAGTCCCCCTGGTGTTCCCAGAGGTCTCCCATTACAGTACTACCCTGCCCTGCCCTGCTCAGCTTCAGAGGTCTGACAAGATCTGGCTTTCACATGCAGGTATGGCCACGAAACTTAAGCCCACATTGCCTGAAGCTCCGGCTGAAATACCAAGGCTATGGCACCGCTGATGTAGAGCCATCTTCCCGTGGACCCAACCCCCGGAAGAGGATCAGTGAGGGACTGGTGCTATGAGCATTAGGTGGCAGATCTCATTGCCACCCCCTGACCCAGAAATGGACTAATAAAGGGGCAGAAAATGAATGAATGAATATTGTTACAAATGCAAAAGTAGTAGGTCTCTGCCATTTGCGTAAAAGTAGCTCTTTGATGGAAAAGGTTGGAGACCCCCGAGAGAGAGCCTTGAGAAAGACACCTGCATCACTGAGAACATACTGTATATCTATTCTGTTTCTTATGGCACAAGTCAAGGCTCATTCACAAGGCCACGCTCACCTGGTACTCACGCACACACGGCAAACACAAACACACACAGATACACACATTTATTAGTTTACATACCAACAGTAAGACAGTTTTTTTTTTTTTTTTTTTTTTTTTACTTTTTTAGCTGTTTATATTCTATTTATTTCCTGTTTATTTGAACACCCTGTGGTCTTTTCAGATCTGGGAGGTTTTTTTTTTTTAGCTCAGACAAGGAAGAAACTATATGTGGAGTTTTCAAGGATTTTTGCTGTAGATTTGTTTGTTCATAATCTGACCTTATTATACTTAATAAAAAGCACAAAAGATTGATTTGATCAATTCATTAGATCAAGGGAGAAATTGATTGAGAGATGATCCAAAAGTCTGGGTCAAGTTTCAAATCTTGTAAACAGAAAAGTCACTGGAAGTAGCAGTCTCCCATCACACAGTACTATCCAAGCATCAATTTGCTTAGATGACGAGATCAGGCTTTGAGATGAGGAGAGCCTTGGATGGCCAGATACAGACATAGCTCACTTTCAGTGATATTGTTTATCATACAACATCTTTTATATCTTTATTAAGCAAAAGACAGATATTTGATTTGATTGGATTAATATAGAGGTTGTGCTGTCCTTTGAGATTAGTATAGATTTATTTAGTAGAGAATTTAGCATTGAGCAGGAGTCTCCAGCCTTTCCCACCCAGAGAGCTACTCCCCCAAGACAAAAAAGACAGAATTACGCCTTTAAGCGTCCTGGAAAAAATCAGGTGAACGAGCCTGATATCATGTAGTCATTTTATAACAGACATTATCTATCATCACATATTCATTACCTTTGCAGATAGTAAAACAAAGTAACTAATACTTTCTGAAATATCCAGTATATTTTTTGATTTGTTAATTTGTAAATTCTTTGACGAGTTACCTGGAAGTGGGTGGCGAGCTACAGGTTGGAGACCCCTGGTATAGAGCATAGAGCTGTGTTCATTTATCTTATATTGTGTTGTGTGCTCCTCACTCCTACTGTTCTGTAACTGGTGATGCAACATTGAAATTTCCCCACAGTGGGACAAATAAAGGATCTTTTAAAGGTATACTGTATGTTCTCAAATTTTAGGACAGAACAGCCCTCTCCACTTTTTGAACAAAACTTTCTGGTCTTATTTGACGAGCACATATCTCCAGAATGATTGACAATGACAATTAAGAGGACCAATAATCTTGATGATCCACCCGGAAGTAGAAAATCCACCTATGTACCTTTTAGTTTGAGTTACTGTGACGTCGGAGAGACTCTCAAAAGTACGACGGCAAATTTCTCCTTGATTATTCAAATCCACGGTAATGATCCACGGGTGTCATGGACAACAATTACGTTAACGGATGACAAAAAAACGCGTAATTTCCGTCTATTCATTTCCAGTAAATAATTGCTGTCGTATGAGCAGATGAATTATATCACCGTTTGCTCTTCTGTCTTGTATGAAGGGTCACAGCGGGGCATTTTCAGCGGAATAATTCGTTGTGCTCTGACCCCTGTTGTGCACCATAACAGTGTGTTCTGTGGAAAGGTAAACAACACAGACAAATGGACCGGGATGATACATGCTTCTATTTCTGATTCTCTATAGTATTGTTGAAAAGGTTACATTCATTTGCCTCGTTTCTGCCCGCCGCCGAGAGAGCGAGCGAGGGCCGGGCTCAGAGGGTGTCCACTATAGAAGTCACTTTGCCGCTAATACGCACGCATGTTAGCGGGGAATACAGTCGTGCCTTTGCTGTTCTGTCCATGTTCTGTCCTGTGGGGGTTGTGCAATGTCGGCGTGGACCATTACCGCCGCTGTCCGTAGAGAGAGGAGACAGCCTGGTATGTTATAGGGAGGTCGTCATGTACTGAACGGTGTGTCTGCTGCTGCAAAGTGACGGAAGAAGTGCTTGGGTGGACGCGAGGGGTCATGAAGAGTGGACAGTCACGCAAACTTGTTCTGGAGGTTCTTTATTAGCCAGATAATGCAGTGTAGGAGTTGTATGTAAAGTTCAGGGGATGCTTTTGAATCTAATTTCAGAAATGCACTTGCGGTCTGACAATGAATCAATGTATATGTGTGTAATAAATAACTGGTGCACACTGGGGACTTTTGCAAAATGTATTCCAATGTGGTTTTACTGCAAATGGCAAATACATGAATCTGAATCTGAGAGCATACTTTTGATTAAACACTTTGAAATTCTATGTATACCGATTGTCCTATATACGGTAAATACACCTGTATTATTAAACCTGTCGTCCAGAAAATACCCAAATATGTTTTCATTCAGCCATAATTCAAGAATAAAGGCTATGCTCTAATTCATTGTCGAGCCTTCCACTTTGAATGTCCTAGACGGCATTAAAAAGGATATTTCTTGAATTTCCTGTTGTTGTTTTTTTTTTACAAAAAAGTTAAATGGTTTTTTCATAGGGATTTCTGATTAAACTGATATTATAGCACAGATAAATAGTTCATTTGCAAATACAGATAAGAGCCATCTGGAAAATTGTTGTGATTTTGTGAAAAGCCAGATACATTTCTAGTAGATCTATCTACTAAAATTAGTGCCATACAACTACAGTTCAAATCTAATCCACTACTAAAACAACTTTCCAAAGTGCAGATAAGAGGTAAAAGTAACACATTTTGCTAGCTTTATATGTAAAAATAAATAAAATAGAAGTAAAATATTATGTGCAACGTAAAAACAATAAAAATGTAATAAAAACAATAACACACCAGTTATCCAATTTAAAAATAAAAGTACAACTAGCTCTTAAAGTTGGACTACCTCACTTTATTTTGTATTAATTTAGGAAATTCAATCCATATCCATGCAGTGCATTGGGATATACGTCCTTTTGAAGAATAAGTCGCGCTGGTTTGTGCTGGCGTGACATTTTATTTTAGATTGAGTTATCGTGCAACACGGAAGAGAGTTTTTTTTGGGTCCCGATTGTGACCAATCACAGCGGACCACTGGCCTCCACTTTCTTGAGAAAAGCCACAGGTCTCTTGTTAGCACAGACAGCTGAGGTAAACAAGCGGCGGAGGCTAACCTGAAACTCCCCGTGTCTTTGTTACCGATTTCTTCTTACAGAGTGAAACAGTGAATCCAAAAGAAAGTCGTGTTCCTCCGCGCCTCACGGTTCTATCATTCTATGGTCACGCCATCCACGTTCAAATGTGCGATCCCTATTGTGAGACGTGAGCTCCGTAAACAACAGCACATGAGCACAGGCTGAGTGGGAGGGGGGTTGTGGGGGGCGATAGCTTCATGAGTGCGGGGAGCGAAGCAGAAAGAGCGAGGCCAGTGCTCACATTTGAAACGCTGCTTCAAAATCACAAAGTGAGTTAGTCCAACTTTAAGCCAATTCTCGAGAACTTACAGTCAATCGCAAAACATGTTGAAGCTTGTTGCTACAGGAATACAAGTTTTTTAACACATTTTCAAAACGGTAATCTTAGTTTGTGCGATGGAACTGTTCATATACCCTGCTTGTACAGACAGTATGGCTCCAACAGCAGCGTCTAGAGTAGAACTTACACAGAGGACGTGGAGCGCGACGGCCCCCTCCGCTCTCTCCGCCTTTGTGAACAGGTCTGTGGGGAACTCATGCAGCGCTGCAACAACAAACACAGAGAAAAAAACAATATTAGTACCTTTTTCTACACTGAGTGATTGTAGTGAGACGCAGGGGGCACATATCAGCGGAGGGTGTCAAAAGAACATTAGAAAGCACTGAACTGGTGACTTCAGCTTGAGCCAAGGAGGCCATCTGCTCCTCTGTCTGCCCCTTCAGTCCCTGTGCGAGAGCAGCATGAAAGAAGAGGAAGTCAGGGAGAAAGATGCCAAATGTGTTCCAGAATGTGCATTTTTCAACAAAGATTGGCATTTGGAGGGGTGCTTTTGTCCCCAGACACCAGGTCAACGTGTGCAGATCACATATGGCCTTCTCTGACACAAAAATGTAATGTGGATACACTGTAAAAGATGGTGAAATATGCGGTAATAAATGCTTGAATCTGACTGTCTTAAAAAAAGATTTACCAACGGGACAAAGCCATGTAGTCTTATGCCAAGAACTGCTTTATTTTCTCATTCCAAGGGAGACTTTTCTTGTATCTTTTCAAAACAAGATCATTTTGCTTTGTCCCATTAGCAAATCTTGTTTTAAAGGAATAGTTCACCGTTTTTACATACTGACATATGGTCTTACCTTACCTTAGACTAGTTAATACGTACCTGTCTGGTCTTAGTCCGTGCGCTCTGTCATGCAAACGGAGCAAAAACGGGAGCACAACCGCAGCCTCCTTTGTATATTTTGTAGCACCAAAAGGTAGCTCCCGCTAGAAGCTACCAAACTCTTCCAAGTGTTCCCTATTAAATGTATATAGTTACGTGACGTGTTACACTGCAAAGTATAGTAACACAGAAATGTAACAGTCGATTTTCTCAGCGGATAAAACGGGTACTATATTGTGAGGCGTAGTAATCTGAGGGGCGCTACGTCCGCGCACTAACTTCTCTCCGGAGACTTCTCTCTCGCTCACTTCCGTCAATAGAAGCAGCGTGACTTGTAATACACACAGTAGCAGCGAGAGAGAAGTCTCCGGAGAGAAGTTAGTGCGCAGAGAAGTTAGGAGCGCTACGTCCACGCACTAACTTCTCTCCGGAGACTTCTCTCTCGCTGCTACTGTGTGTATTACAAGTCACGCTGCTTCTATTGACGGAAGTGAGCGAGAGAGAAGTCTCCGGAGAGAAGTTAGTGCGCGGACGTAGCGCCCCTCAGATTACTACGCCTCACAATATAGTACCCGTTTTATCCGCTGAGAAAATCGACTGTTACATTTCTGTGTTACTATACTTTGCAGTGTAACACGTCACGTAACTATATACATTTAATAGGGAACACTTGGAAGAGTTTGGTAGCTTCTAGCGGGAGCTACCTTTTGGTCCTACACAGTATACAGCGGAGGCTGCGGTTGTGCTCCCGTTTTTGCTCCGTTTGCATGACAGAGCGCACGGACTAAGACCAGACAGGTACGTATTAACTAGTCTAAGGTAAGGTAAGAACATATGTCAGTATGTAAAAACGGTGAACTATTCCTTTAAGACAGTCAAAATGTGTTAAAATGAAGATACAATTTTTCCACTGTGGGCCTGATAAAGGCTTTCATTCATTATTTATGTTGAAAAGGCAGATAGTGCCACCCAAGTCTACTTTTCTGGACACTCAAAAACACTTAAGACATGGGTTGCCAGTTTCTTTGTTGAAATCCAGCTGGTTTGGTCACTTGCCAAAACCTGAGCAGGTGGACTGCATCACAATCAACTTTGGCAACAAACGTTTGACTTATTAAACCAATAAGAGAAAAAATACACAGAGAAGATTACCTGTGTGATTTTTATTTCACCAACTTTCTTCTTCAAACAGTACAATATGGTAAGAGGCAATAACAAAAAGTAATCTACAAAAAATACAACCAGCCGTAGGGATACATTTAGTTGAAAATCAAACACATTATTTGAGGTGCACAGAGCTAGGACTACATGTACAGCCATAATTGACCACTGAAAGCTGGTAATTTGTTTTCATCTGGGAGGGAATCTCATCAAACACATCATCAAATATTTGTTTCTGCTGCTGGACATTTGAATATCTACTAAAGGAATCAGCAAAGTATCTATCTATCTATCTATCTATCTATACATCCACCCACCTCTCTATCTACCTACCTACCAACCTACCTTCCTTTCTACCAATCCTATCTATAAATCCACCCACCTCCCTACTTACCTCTCTGCCTACCTACCTACAGTACACACCCACCTATCTATCTTTATAACTACCCACATCTCTACCTACCTACCTGTAAACCCACCAGCCTCCATATCTACCTACCTACCAACCTATCTTCCTTCCCACCTACATATCTATATATGTAGATGGGAAGGTGGGTGGATCTATATATCCACCCACCTCCCTACTTACCTATCTGCCTACCTACCTACTTACCCACCTACAGTATCTGTCTATATACCCACCCACCTCTCTATCTACCTACCTACCCTCCTACCTATCTATAAACCCATATCTACCCACCTCCCCTATCTACCTACCTACCAACCTATCTATCTACCTACCTACCCTCCTACCTATCTATATACCCACCCACCTCCCTATCTACTTACCTACCTATCTACCTATCTACCTCCCTACCAACCTATCTATCTATCTACCTACCTACCTTGCTATTTCTGCAATACAAATCAAGACCAAGACAGAGCGCTACAAAAACAGTTTTTTCCCCTCAGCGGCCAGGCTGCTCACTGACGCTGGTTTCCCTTCTTCCCTTGCCCCCTAGGAACAAGGACTGAACACTATGGCACTTTATTACATTATTCTATTTATATCTCTTGCACTTTTTTGTTAAATTATATGTGAAAAAAGATGAATGCACACTGTCATGTTGCCAAGTCAAATTCCTATGTGTTTTGCACAATGGTAAATAAAGTAATCTGAATCTGAATCTGAAGACCGTGGATTCAAATAGTTTTGTAACCTGCTATTTGTGACCCAGCCTTAATGGAGAGGTGTAATTTACCGTTCACTAATAACCACCAATGCACACAGCAGGTCATGTGCACGTAGGCTCTTGTTTGACCTCATAGACACACAGACGTTGAGAAGACATTAGCACAGCTCGGGCCTCCTCATTACTTCCAGGAGGCAGCACCATGACGCAGTGGAAATCTTTGGGATCTGGGAACGATTGGGCTCGATTCGGGAACAACCTGCGCCTCTGTGGGCAGGGGTTTGCAGATCTCGTGTGTTTTTACGGCGTGTTTGGATTAATTATGATTGTGTTGTTGTGGAGGAAACACATGCAACAAAGTGGGAGAGGTGAAGGAGAAGCGCTGTGGGTTTAAAGGCGACAAAGTAACGAAACTAACAGAAAATATGGTCTCCACGCAACATTTGGCAAGGTATGAATCTGAGTTTTTAGGGTTAGGATCAGCAGGGATTGTGCTGTCACTTCATATCCGATTTTAATTTTTATTTAACCATTATTTAACCAGGAATGTCCCATTGAGTTCCGGGCAAAAGGCAACAAAAGTTACACACAATAAGATAAAAGTACAGATTATAAAAACAGTTACACAACTGCACATATCTGCATTGTTAAATGTCTATTGTGTCTACTTCCATATGATTTTGTATGCATGCCTTCATTCCATTTCTTATTTTACATGTTTGCACCATACAGTATGCCAGAAAAATTCTTAGTATATACATTCCTGGCAATAAAAATAATTCTGATCGTGAAAAATAGAATGTTTTCAACCCTTGCCCTTAGTACAAAGCTATGAGATTTTAAGGGAAATGAGCACATATTCTACACCAGAAACTGTAAACAAGACAAATATTAAAGCTGGGGCAGTTAACTTTTTATCATTCGACATCTTCTGAGAGCTGATTGGTTGAATGAGGTTAGTCTTCTGTTTTTAAAGAGGTCAAAAATACATGTACTGTCCGTGAAAACTAGTGATGGAACACAACTGTTTTAAAAAGGAGGAAAGATGTATTTTATTACATCCAGTTGTAAATTAGGGACCCCAGCTTTAAGTTGATTTCAGAAATACCAAAATGTAATGTTAAATTTTTCTCGCACAAAGCCACTTCTCCTATGGGTTTTTACAATTTAAGGACTAGTTCCTTTTTGCCTCCTGAAAAACTATTACTGTATATATTGTCTTTCTGTGGAACATTCTAAGCAGAGAAATTACATTCAACAATTCAATTCAACTGCATTTATTTTTGTATAGTCCTAAATCCCAGTAGCAGTTGTCTCGGAAGACTTTACAAAGTTGTTGATTTGCCAACAACACAATCAAATTCAATCACAGGTAATGACATAAAAATATTTACATGGGAGCAAGTTTGTTCATAGGGAGCAGGACGACCAATGTCCAAAAATGATCATAAATGTCCCTAATAATCACCGTCTTTAGACCCTCCAGCTTCTGCAAGAAACAAAACTGTGTGTTTGTTTTTGTGTTATATGGACTGGTGCGTCGGAATCAAAGATTAAAATTAAACATTAAATAAAATAGACACCCAGATGAACACATATGCAAATCTGTCTCTATTTTGGACTGGACAAGGAAGAAACCAGGTCTAAACCCTTACTAACCATGTCTCAACTCGTACTAACATGGAGCTAAACTACTCCAGGTATAAACCAGGTCTGAACCAGGACTGAATGAGGACAGGACCAGGTCTAAAGTGGGTCAGTGATTGAAGAGCAGTGCATGCTGGGCTACGGTAGAATAATGCAATGCAAATGGGTCAACACAAAGAGGACAAACTGCAGTGGATTGATATGTTCTTTGGGGGATAGAGAAAAGCCACTCATGAGAGAACCGCTTTTAACACATTCACCACATTAAGTAAGTACGCTTTATTTATACAGCGCTTTTCACAGACCAAGGCCACAATGCATTTCACAGTAAAAACAGGTAAAAACAGATAAAATACCATTTAAAATCCAATATAGAATGTGACATTATAGCGATCATTAAACTGTTTGGACGCAGAAAGGGAACGCCGTTATATATA